CTTTTTCCAGCGTTTTACTTTCTACTTATTCATGCCTTTATATTTAAAATACCTCTCTCGTAAGCAGCATATCACTGGACCTTGCTTTTATAATTGGTCTAACAATCTTTATTTTCTAGTTTATGTGTTTAGTCCTTGTATATTTAGTGTAACTATTGATATAGTTGGGTTTAAGTCTTTTGGCTTACTATTTGTCTTCTGTTTATCCAATTACCTTTATTGGGTTAATCTAATAGTGCTCTATTTTATTACCTCAATTAACTTCTTAGCTTTGATCCCCTTCCCAGGGCTAACACTATGGTATGCTTTACATTTTAACATGTGCTTATTACTCTTTTCGAGGGGAGATTTTGTGTCTTAGACTTCTCTCATACGCATCATCCTTCATCCATTTAACACATGGTATTGAGCATATGTCCCAGTCTGTACAGGGACTGGGCTGAGTGTTGGAAATATAGCTGTGAACTTGATAGACATGAAGCTCACATTCTGTTTTGGTAAATAGAAAAGTAAGTAGGGGTGATTTCCCAGCAAAAGGAAAAGTCTGCACTGAGCCTTTAGGCTGAGCAGGAACTGGCCAAGTGAAGGGAGGGATGTGAGCCAGTTTCAGGTTGTGGCAGTAGTGAGTGAAAAGCCCAGAAGGCAAGAGTAGTTGGTGCTGCGACCAGGGGGTGTTGGGACACTCAGTGTGCCTTTGCGCAGGGTCACGCGGTGCCGTCCGGAGTGCAGTGTGGCACCCCGTGCAGGTAGCCACAAATTTAGGAAGTTTGTTTGGTGACTTCTAATTTTCCGATTGAATTAGGAATCTATAGCTGGGTCTATGGTGTGCATGCTATTAATAGCCACTCATCAAATGATTGAAGGGATTTTGAACAGATGCTCTGTTCCAGCTGACTACAGTATTTCAGTTTTCACTTTTGTCTTTTATCAATAAAGAATTTTGATTTTCAAATTCTGTTGAAAGAAACAAAAAACATTTTATTTCTGAAGAGTGACTCTTGTAATGTAAGCTGAACAAGAGATTTTCCAGGGTTGTTGGTGAAGGGAGGGAGCGTCCGTTTCCCTGAGCCCAGATGCCCCAGATAAGACTCTGCCACTCATTCTCTGCATACCCTTGAGCAAGTCCTTCCCTTTTTGGACCTCTGTTTCCTCCTCCTAGATTTGTACAACATGGCAAAGAGGAGACTTCTGGCTCTGCCATGCTATAGATTTATCAGTCACTAACACCTTGATGGGAATCAATTTTTCTTTCTTTTTAAAAAACAATTTAATTTTTATTAGTCCATATTTGCAGTAAATAATGATTTCATTCATTGTGGGTATTTGGTGCATGTACAGAACACATCTCAGTTCTCTTTTTCCTCTTCCCTTCTCTCTCTCTCTCTCTTTTTTTTTTTTTGGCCAAGATCAGACTCATGTATTTATATTATGAGTCCTTATAAAGTTAATTATCATACATACAGATTAACAACTAGATTAATAGGCCAAAAACATATAAAACACATAAGACAATTTTACTAAATCAAAGTACACTTTTAGATACATTTCCATGCTGGATTAGAGTAATTTTTCTTTCTCTTTTTTCCTATTGTCTTTATATTACACCTTATTTATTATATATGGAGTTTCTCATATAAGCATAACCATGCAATATATAAGCGTATGTGTCTGATTTACTTCACTTAACGTTGTGATCTCAAGGTACATCCATTTTCTTCCAAATGACTCCAGTTTATCCTTCTTTATGGCAAAGTAGTACTCCATTGTGTATAAACACCACATTTTCTTTATCTATTCATCTATTGATGGAGATATAAGCTGCTTCCAAGATTTAGTTATTATGAATTATGCTGCTATAACATGGGTATGCATACATCCTGTGGTCTGATATCTTTTACTCTTTGGGGACAATACCTAAAGGGAAATAGCTGGGTCAAATGGAATTTCTATTTTTAGTTTTTTGAGAAATCTCCATACTGATTTTCATAGTGGTTGTACTAGTTTACATTCCAACCAACAATGAATAAAGATTCCCTTTTAATCCACAGTCTCTACAGCATGTAATTGGTTGATTTCTTTATGATGTCCATTCTTTTTGGAGTGAAGTGGAATCTCTGTATTGTTTTAATTTGCATTTCTTGAATTCCCATGATGTTCAACATTTTTTCATGTATTTATTGGCCACTTGTACTTCTTCACCTAAGAAGGGTCTATTCATTTCAGGTGCCCATTTTTTATTGGGCCCTTACATTTGGGGAGCTTCTATTTTATATATATATATATATACACACACACACACACACACACACACACATTAGATATTGGTCCTTTGAGGAGTACCTGGTAAAATTTTTTTCCCCATTCTGTGGGCTGTCTCTTCACTCTGTTGGTAGTTTCCTTTGCTGTTGCAGAAACTTTTTAATTTGATGTGATTATTTGTTGATTCTTGGTATTATTTCTTGTGCAACTGGGGTTCTGTTCAGAAAGTCTTTGCCTACTTAATCTTCCAACATATTGTTTCTGTTTTAATGTTTAGATCTTTGAGTCATTTTGATTTTAGTTTAGTACATGGTGAGATTCATAGGTCTGGATTCAATCTTTGGCTTACGAATAGCCAGTTTTCCCATCATCTTTTGTTAAAGAGGCTATCTTTCTTCCAGCAAAAGGATTTGGCCCCTTTGTCAAAGATACGGTAGCTGAGTATGCCTAGAGTTGCTTCTGCATCCTCTATTCTGTGGATCTACAAGTCTGGTTTTTTTTGGTCAATATCATGTTAGTATAGAGGTCTCTTTAGTTGCTTTTTAGTGAGGTGCTTTGGGCATGGCTTACTATAATCCTTTGCCACAGTCCCAAGATCTGACCATGTAGGTTAATTTGGGAGAGGGAGATGCAGTGTAGTTAGCTCAACAACCAAGTTCTCTGGGAATGTACTCTCTCATTGTTAATGTCACAAAGGTAATCTGAGTGTTGGCTTACAGAGAAGTAGGGACAACTATGTGACCCTGTTAATGTCAAGCAAATCAGTTACAGTAGTATTATCCAAGACAAACTGAATACAGTAAGTCCTTGACTTATGAACACTTGAGTGTTGTGAATTTTCACAGATACTAATGGACCTCACATTTGGTTTTTCTATGCATTACATTATATATTTTTGTCAGAGGTGCATGAGACTCAGTTTGCCTGATTTACGAACAAATCTGACTTACGAAATGACTGTATTAACCTACCATAAGGGCCAATTATGTACCACACTTAACCATAGAGAAGAAATCTGCAATTATGGTGTAAATATTAGGACAACTCAGGTGCTGACTTACAACTAATATGTACTAAATGTGATAGCTATATTTCACACTGATAGATAAAGAAGGCAGTCAGACTCCAAATATGTGTTGGATGCAGGCACCAGCAGACAAGATTAGGTAAGGGTGCCAGTGCTGCAACTTTCAAATCCAGAGCAATTCAGGCTGAGTGTGGTCTCTGGACATGGGGGTAGAGCCTGTGTCTTTTAGCTCAAACTCCTCAAGGGATCTCTTGCTAGCCTGACCATGGTCCCCTGACCACAGCTGTCTCCCATTGCTGTCCCTCACCCAGTCACTGTGGGAAGGTAACACTGGGAGCCCTCAAATGAAGCTACCCTGAGGCTGCTCTGAATCCCAGGTTCAGTGGACTCCTCTCTGGAATGGTGTCCAACCTCTCTGTCCAGGGGGCATGGCCGGAACATTGACTGGAGTTACTCATGAGCTGCTGCAGCGCTCACCGTCCTCTTGTCTGTTCCACTGCTGTGTTTCTCCCTGAAGCCCTCTGGAGTCCCTGGCTTCATTTTGTCGATGTGGATTCCCTGTTCTTTTCTCATGAACCACAAGCTGGGAGCTGGGGAGAAAGTGCAGATTGCCTCTTCCCTTTTCCATGTTGTGTTCTGTCTCTAACTTCTCTGCAAATTTTAATTTCCCTGTCAGATCTTTCCTGGGCATCTATATACCTCTCTATTTTTGTTCCCCAAGCTTTTATTTTCCAGTGTCTGAATTCTAAATCTTGGAGAGGCTGAGTCATTGCTTATTACTCCTCCATTTTCCCAGAAGTCCAAGTTATTTATTTCTAACCTTCAGAACTTCCTGAGAGAACTCAGGAATGTAAACCCTGTGTATGTACAACATAATAATATATATTATAATAATATGGCTTCTGATTGCAAGTGAAACAATTCAACATTAGGTTAGGGAAAAAGGGAAAAACTACTTATAGGGTATAGGGAGAGAGATGTCATGAAAGAGTAGAGGACAAGAGTAGAACAGGAGCTGGGAAGAGATCACTTTCTGTGATCATCCACAATAGATCTTTTGGTTTCCAGCAAACCCAGTGTGGGAAAAGAAGAGCCAAATGTTCAGGAGACTGGAGAATGGAGGGATTGGTTTGTGAACTGGATGAACACACTTAAAAATGTTCTCTCCCTTTGGGTTGTTGGTTTCCAAAAGGGCAATGGTCACAGAAGTGGGGGAAAGGGGTCTGTCTAGATGTGTCTGGTCCTGAGGTCTCTGACCACGGAGTATCTAGGTGGAGGTTAAAGGTCTCTGACCATGGAGTATCTAGGTGGAGGGGATTTAGTTGCACAGATTCCTGGAGGGAATCTGAAGGAAAAAAGGGGAAGTGTGTGACAAATTGCACTCTGGGTCACACTAAGAGACCATTTGGATTTTCTTGGGACTCTTTTGCCATACTGGAACTCGGCCTTGGCCATGGGCTGACTACCAATGGAAAACACACAATGGGTTTTTCTGCTCCCAGCCAACACAATGTAGGAAATGAAGAAGAACCACATGTTCCTGGCAAAAAGGAGGTCTCAGCATGGAGTTAGGGATGTGCTGGGGCTTCTGGCCACACTTTCTCATAAATGTAGATGGTTAATTGGGGACACCTGGTCTGGGGGGGTGGTCAAAGCAAGGGCATAGGTCTGGGTGGAGCTGCCCAATTCCATTCCCAATGTTCTCATTTCTCAGTGAGCCTCTCCATCTGGTGCAGAGTGAAAGCAGCCCAGGGCTCCACAGTGACATCAGGATGGTCGGTGAAGGCCCTTACCTTATCTCCGACCTGGACCAGCGAGGTCAGCAGAGGTCCTTTTCAGAGAGATATGACCCCAGCCTCAAGACCATGATCTCAGTGTGCCCCTATGCAAGGTACATCAGGATCAAGATTGAAGGGGGCTAGGGTAGAACTTACAGGAATAATTTCCAGATTGGGAGAAAGTGGGTACTTCCTCTGCTTCTCATCTGCTGCTCTGTGTGTTTGTCCCTTTTGTTCATCCACTCATCCACACACCATTCACTTATCTACCACTTACTTCTTGCCTTTTCCTACCCTTCAGAGAGGGTGACAATAGCTAATGTTAAAGGAGAACTTTCCATTTGTTAGGATCCATCCAAGTGGTTTACAACCACACTGGAGCTTCTGTTATTTTTAATCTGAGAGGAGAAGAAATTGAGGTACCAAGAGGTTATGTAGCATGCTTAAAGTCCATCAGGTTGTCTTTACTCTTTAACAAATGGGATCAAACATTAGTGGCTTAATTGCCACTTGTTTAGCTTAAAATTTTATAGGTGACCGAGTAACATGGGCTGGGAGCATTGAGTAGTTCATCTGGCCTTGACCAGGATTACTCACTCACCTGCTGCTCAGCAAAGGGCCTGTGTCCCTGGGGTGGCTGGCTGTAAAGTCTGGGGTGATGGGGGCAACAGGACCACATGGTCACTCAGTGTCTAGCAGTCCAGTTTGGGCTTGACCATAGAGCAGTGGGATGGGCTTTCCGGAGAACAAGCAGAAGCATGCAGGGCTTCCTGAGACAGAGGCTCGTAGAAGGTACATGACTACTTCCACCGAGTCCTGTTGGCCAAAGCAGGTTGTGGTAGCCTAGAGTCAGGGTGTGGGGAAATAGACTCCACCTCTTGATGGAATGAGCTGTAGGAGCAGGTTCCAAGGGCCTGGGATGCAGATGGGGGTAGTTAATGAAGTTGTCTTTGAATTTCAGGATAGGGACTTGGGTAGCCTGCCCTTCAAGCTCACATGCTCAAAGTTGCAGCATTTCATTTAACACAATGTTAGAAGGAGACCCATGATGTGTTCTCTGAGGACCAGAAGGCTGAGTGACATCTCTATAGACAGGTGACACTGGCCTTCCCTCTCCCAGCTCCTAGGGACCAAAGATACACACATGCAAGCCCTCTAAGGCGAGAGGTGAAGGTTGGAAGGTGATGGCGTGGACTGCTGTCCTTCACCACAGGGGAGCTCTAACTACTCACTGCTTTAGCCCAGTTTATAATTGCTTTGTGGACAGGCAATGTGATTTGGTGCTGGAGCCAGAAAGTGGTGGGTATGAATTCATGTTTCACCACTTACTGTGAGACCTCGGGCAAGTGCTCAAACCTGTCTGTGCCTCGGTGTTTTTGACTATAAAATGGGTTCATGATCATACCTACTCTACCTTTCTGAGTGGTTGTAAACACCAGATGAGGTGATTCAAGACTTTATCATGAAAGCTGTCTGCAGGGAACTTCTGCTATGTTCTGGGCACATGGTACCTCATTAATACTATCTTACCTTGGATTCTCTCAAGAGTCTCAGTCTCAGTCAAAAACTTGGATGCAGGCAGCTCATTTGGAAGGTGATCCCAAGCAGGGATGTGGGGAATTTAAGGAGCATGAGCCAGAGGAAGAGGAAAATACAGCATGGCTGCGTAGGCAAGCAGGACTGGACTCCACCAGGTCCTCCTGAGAAGTGTCCAGGTGTCTACCCAAAGGATATGCACTGAAAGCATTTGTCCATGGCTCCCACGCCCCATTGGATAGGGTTTCCCTGACCTTCCGCAATTGCAGGTGGCACTCAGGCTCCTGAGAAAGCTGTGGAACAGTTGGTGAGAGGCAGCACTGCATATATTTGCAGGGGACACAGCCAGTGTGCAGCTGTCCTCCACAGCTAAGAGGTGATGTGAGGCCACTCTTCAGCATCTGCCACAAACACCAAGCTCTCACTTCTGGGACATAATAACTAGCAGTGGTTAGTAGATGATACTCTGTCTTTGACATTTATTCTGGCCTTGATGGTTAATTCCTTACGGACAAAACATGGTGTTTTCTTCTTCATTTCCTTTTCCTTCATTTCTCTTTTTTTTGTCAGTACCAGGGATGGAACTCAGGACCCTGCGCTTGCCAGGCAGGTGCTGGCACCACTGAGCTAAATCCCCGGCCTCATTTCTCTTCTCTTTCTTTTTTCCCCCCTTCCTTCTTCATTTTCCCCTCCTCTTTCTTCTGTCTCTTCCTTTTCAGCATCCTCTTCTTCCTTCCCTTCTTCTTCCACCTCCTCCTTCTCCTGCTCCCTTCCTATTCTCTTTCTCTTCTCCCTTTCCCCTCCCTTGTGCCTTCTCTATCTTCTCCTTTACATGATAACAGATCTATCTATCTATCTATCTCTCTCTCTATCTATTTATATGTTAACCCATTCAGCACTCATAATAAACCAGATTATATATATATACTATATACATAACAAAATAATATATACATGATAACAATATAATATATACATAACAGATATATATATAAAACATATACATACTAACATATATATATATTAACCTATTAATCTAACTCATAATAAACCATGAGTTCACCACTGGGTCTTGACCCTTTGGGATGCTAACTCAGCCATAGCGCAGCCTTCTCTGGACCTTTCCCATCCTCCTGAGAGTAAGAGACACATACTAGACCCCTCTGATTTTCCACCAGAGCAGTAAGTGCCTTCCTTCCCATGAGACGCTCAAACATTGGTAAATATTCAAGTGATTCAAAAAATACCTCACTCGTTTGTAGCATTAATCAACTTGTATGACGTAAATACTCCACCACAATTTCAAGCTAAAACATGATGTCACTGAATACAAAGAGATGCAGAGTGGCTCACCAGTTGTGGTATTTACACCATACAGATGATAGGTAGATGTAAATAACTTCAAGAGGACATGTAATAGTAAAAGAATTAAGAAGTGACATGTTTTGAATATGATTACTTTGTCTTTAAGATCATTTATTTAAATTTAAGATCATTTATTTAAATTTATGTAACCGAAGTTTGAATATTGGCTGAGTTTAAGAACTAATTTGCGAAATTCCTGAAAAGGTGACAGTTGGTCTCACGAGCTGGTGTAAGCCAGTCCCAGCACACAGCTGCTCAGAGGGCTAATGAATGTGGTTACAAGTGCAAGCCAGGAGGTAAGGGCAATGACCCCTGGTGACCCAGGCACAGCGCACATCTTATGTGTCTGCAGGTTGGCACCTAACCCCGTAGACGATGCGGGGCTGCTCTCCTTCGCCACGTTCTCCTGGCTCACACCAGTGATGGTCAGGGGCTACGGGAACACACTGACTGGGGAAACCCTGCCCCCGATGTCTCCCTATGACTCCTCTGACATCAATGCCAAAAGGTACCAGGTTTCACTTGGGTCTCCCAGGGAGAGGAGCTCACCCTGGGGAAGGGTCCTGGGAGCCCTGCTGTGTGCTTCCATTTTCCCTGTGTGGGGATGGATACCCATGGGTGCTGGTGACCGCTCTCAGGACTGCTCTCTGACATGGGCTGGTATGCATGGGTGTCAGGGCATAGCCCCCAGGGAGGAGAGGACTGGGCACAGCTGATGGGGAGAGAGGGTTGGTTGGAGGCTCTGGGCCATTTGGCTGGTTCGTGGGAACAGCTTTTCAGGAGGAAGGTGGCTGGAAAGGCACTTTGCACTCTGCTGGTCGACACTCAGCTGGGCTGCTACATGTAGCTCTAGGCATCGGGTTTTGCTGCACTATATAAATTGTTCTTAGATGTCCATGGTGGAAAGTGTATTTAGGTCGAATCAATGAAACTGCCCATCTTTGCTATTTTGACATCATTGGTCCAACCAAACTCACATTCACTATAAAAATGCTAAAGAAACAGAATTTAAGCAGTGACAGTACGTCTACCATACATTTACTCTCCTCCCCAGAGGCTAAACATTGTGAAAATGTTGATGTGGCCCTGTCCATACTTATTCTGCACAGATCAAAGAGACCCAGTGCTATCATCTTCCATAGAGCAATTCCTCATCTTCATCCTCCCCGCTCACAAGTCATCCTTTTACACTTAAAGAGAAAAAATTTAAGCATACTATATAGTTGCTGATCATCTTGCTGTGTTTAGTTGAAAGTTTATGAAGACTTGCCTGTGTCTGCACAAAGACATTAACTTCGTTCCTTCCAATAGCTGCATCAAATGCTGTGGTTCTGGTGACCTAGAAGGTCTTACGCAGGGAGAAGCTCTCAAAGCCACCGAAGCTTGTTTCTCCCGGAAGTTACCCTATCTTTGGTTACATGCAGTGAAGTACAACACATGCACTGCCTGAGCTACTTACTTACAGGGCCGAGAGCACCAGCCATAACCTTGCAATTGCTGGTAGAATTGTGTTCCTCTTCCCCTGTGCCAACATCTGCAGTCTAGAGAAAGTTACCAGGGAGCCCTGAGGGAAAGGGGCTGGACCAGCACCCATGGAATACTGAATTTTCCTTTCCTTCTTTGCCCAGTATTTCTTCATCCATTTTTATTGTTTCTTTCCATCTACATAACATCCACGTAGACCCCCTTCTCTCCCAGGCTATGTCCTCTGCTCCTAGTAGGACCTCATACCCTCCAAAGGCTTAAACCCCAAACACACACTGGCTCTTCAATGAAATGTGCCTCTCCAGCCCAGGCTTGTCTTCCAGATTTTGAATCCACATGTCTTGCAGCAGACCAGACAGCTGCATTTGGATGCCTCACAGTTGCTTATCTGTGCCTAATGGTGCACCCCCCTCCCGCCCCCACTGCACACACGCGTGCGCGCGCGCGCACACACACACACACACACACTCACCTGTCCTGGGGACTGAACCCAAGGCTTTGCACATGCTGAGCAAATAGTTAAAGCTGAAGTATTGGTCTTTCGCTCTGACCTGATAATATTTGCCTCTTCCTCTTTTCCCATTTCTGAAAAGCCAAGAAGCTGGGATCTGCCCAGATTCCTCCTCCTTTCTTCCCATATCTAATTCATTGGCAAGTCTGTTGTCCTCCCCTGTCTGCCTTTCCTTGAATCCATTGCCCCACCTGCCCTGCCACTGCTGCCTCTCATCTGGAGGCTGACCACCCCTTATTGGGGTTCCTTGCTTTTGCTTTCACTCCCCCAATCCATTACAGTCACAGCAGCCAAGTGATCTGTCAGAGATGCAAAGTGCTTTAATTGAAAGCATGTAAAGGCTTCCCTGCACTTGGACTGCACTCTAAACTCCTTCCTGAGGCCCTTGAGGCCCTGAGATTGGGCTCAGCCTCGCCTGGAACATCTTGTCGGTCCCTCTCCTTCACAGCACACTCCTGCCACACCAGCCTTCTTGCAAATCTTAGACACTGAGTCTTCTTTGCTTCGGAGAAGAATTTTTTCTGGACTTCTCAGTTGCTTCTGTGTTCTTCTCAGAGCTGGCGGTGTGGTCAGGAGGCAGGGAAATGAAGGCCTGGAAAGGGGGTGCATGCCAGGTATTCGTATTAGCTTATGTTGGGCATGGTTGCCCATCCCTCCTGGGTCCTACTTGCCTAGGAAAAAAAGAAAGAACCAATGCTGCCTGTCTGGCAGCACAGTGATTGGGATGGGGGTTGTGCCAAGAGCCCTTGCACGGGCTGTTACACATGCACAGCTTCAAACAGCAAGTAGAGATGTCAATACTCTTTCATCTTCCCATTCTTTCATTGCAGGTTTCGAACGCTTTGGGATGAAGAGGTGGAAAGGGTGGGTCCTGAGAAGGCCTCCCTGGGCCAAGTGGCCTGGAAGGTCCAGAGGACGCAGGTTTTGATGGACATTGTGGCCAACATCCTGTGCATAATCATGGCAGCCATAGGGCCGGTGAGCGGGGTGGCCCCTCTTCTCTCTCGCCTCCCATGTCCCCCGCTGGGCAAAGTTGTCATCAGTGTCTTTCTCTACGAGCTGGTGGGTTTAGTACGTTGTCATTATCTTTGTGCTCCTTGGGGGTGAATTTTCATAAAGTGAATCCTTGTCAAGCACAGCAGCAAGCACTGAAATTAATTAAAAAGTTTGCCTCATAAAATCAGCTTGCTGACATTATCCGACGTCTCTTCTGCCACCCTCTACCCTCCAGCAGCCCTCCCTTCTCTCCAATGCACTGTTTTACAGACAGTTCTCATTCACCAAATCCTCCAGCACACTGAGAGTGCCTCTGGGAAATTCCGGGTTGGCATCAGCCTGTGCATGGCCCTTTTTGCCACTGAGTTCACCAAATCCTCTTTTGGGCCCTGGCCTGGGCCATCAAGTACCGCACAGTGATCCGGTTAAAGGTGGCTCTCTCCACCCTGGTCTTCGAAAACCTGGTGTCCTTCAAGACATTGACACACATCTCAGTTGGTGAGGTAAGCTTCTCCAGGAGTCTAACTTTAGAAAATTGATACTGAGGCTTTTGAGCATGTATGAGGTGTGCTTTCTACATGAGCACTTGCCTCCCTTTTGTTTGTCTATGTCCTGCCCCTGATGTCCCATCTCCTGCTGAGTGAAGTGGTAGGGACTGAAAGCACGGAAGGAATTCAGAGAAAGGTTGGCTCCATTGATGCTGGAAAATTTGGGAAAGCTGGAATGGGGTTCAGTAGTGACCTCAATCCCTTTGTCAAGGAGGAAACTGAGGCAGGGCAGAGCACACTTTGGGTATGGATTGACTGGGAGATCCAGTAATTCCAATTGTGTAGCATTTGGGCTGCTGAAGTCATAATAAAAAAACATGCCTGCTGTACTTCTGAGCTGACATTTTCTTAAACCCTTAATCCTCAGCAATAAAATCCTTGCTGCTTATTCAAGAAAATTTCCCCAACCAAGGGAACTCCAGGTGGTGTGCATTAAGACTCGCTTCTCTCTTACATATGCTCTTTCAGGATATTCAGAATCTCCCATATCAATTCTGACTATATTCCACATGGGACCCTCAAAATAGAAAACCCCAAACATCAGTGAGTTAAACAGAATGAATTTATTTCATTCAATGTAAAAGGAGTCTGAAAGAGTACAATCCAGGACGGGGTTGGTTTCTTCATCCTTGTCCTAGAATGTGGGTCTCAAGGTGGCTCAGAATGGATGTTAGAGATCCAGTCATCCCAGCCATGTTTCAGATAGTGAGTAGGAGGAAGGAGAGAAAAACAAAGGGATGTGAATCCACCCCAGGTTCTATTTCACACTTTGGCTGGGAGGATATTGTCTTTTAGCTGGGCATGTTGCTGCCCTGAATAGAGAGTTGTGTTAGTAAGGAGGAAGAGCAAGTAGATTTACAGTAGGCAGTTCATGGTCCCTCTAGCATGTTCCAGGTATTCCTTAACCCTTTCCTTTTTGGGATTTTCAGTCCTAAAAGACTGGCCTTTCCAAAATCATACCAGAACGAGACAACAAAATTCATCAGGCTGGTTCTTTGGTGATCCCCTTCCCTTCATTCATTGGCAAAGCCTTCAGTTGAGGAAAGGTTTGAGAAACCTTCCCAACTGGAACTCATATGCTTTCTTTCCAGGTGCTCAACATACTATCAAGTGATAGCTATTCCCTGTTTGAAGCTGCCTTGTTTTGTCCCTTGCCAGCCACCATCCCTATCCTAATGGTTGTTTGTGCTGTATATGCCTTTTTCATTCTGGGGTCCATAGCTCTTATTGGAATATCCATGTATGTTATATTCATCTGCATCCAGGTAAGCAGGCCTCTGCCCTTGGAACTGCTTCACAAGTGCTATGAGCCCATGTGCTTTCACTCACTGGACAGAGGCTTTATTTCTGGGCCTGCAGCTGAAGCCTGTATCTTACTTTGGGCTTACAGGTAGGCTTTCTTTTGGTGGCAAAAGAAACATGTCATTTGATAAGAACTTGAATTTAAACACGGTGGTGGTTGTGGGGTAGAGGGTGCTTCTTCAGTTTGCCAAAATCTCCAGCACTTCCCATGCATCCTGGTAATTATTGTATGTCTTAATTACTTCTTCTCATCGATGAGACAAAATATCTGACACCCAAAGTTGAAGGAGGAAAGTTTTACTGTAACTCACAGTTTATAGAGGTTTCAGCCCATAATCAGCTGGCTCCAAGGCAGGGTGGCATGGAAGAGGGGCATCGCAGAAGTGAAACGGTTCATAGGAGGCACAAGGCAGCGAATCAGTGAGGTAGCAAGCAGCAAGTGATCACAGCCCTCTTTCTGTCCCTCATATTTTATCCAGGCTCTCCTAGGGTGGTGGAGCTCATACCCTGAGTGGGCCTTTCCATTATCCACTCCCAGAACTATGCCAAACCAATGAGTGGGCTAATTTAGTAATCACACACCCTTGATCTCAGCATCAGACTCTTAATCCCAGCATCACACACTAGATCCAGCCACCTCTGAGTAGTTCCTCCTATCTGCACATGAGGCTTTCAGGGGACATCTAGATATAAGCCATAACATTGTATCACCTGGAAGGATCTCCAGCCAGTCCCCCAGGCCACACCAAGGGCTGCAAACCAGGGGAAAGACTCAAGCTTCTCTTAGAACTGTTCCTGGCACTTGTACTCCCATCCTTGAACTTTTTGATGAACTGCAACTCAGCAACTCTCCCTGAACACAGTGTTTGTACTTGATTCCAGATGTTTATGGCTAAGCGCAACTCAGCTTTCCAAAGATCAGCAATTTCAGTGACAGACAAGCGCATTCAGACAATGAATGAGTTTCTGACCTGCATCAAGCTTATTAAAATGTATGCCTGGGAGAAATCTTTCACAAACACCATTCAAGGTAGGATGAGAAGCTGCCTAGGGAACTACTTACATTGTAGAATGTGCTCTTCTAAGGGGTTCTTAAGGTTCCCAGGGCCAGCATAGCAGAAGAGGGCTGACAGGAACCCCTGAGGTGCTCTGCAGGTTAAAGGATTTTTCCAAGGATTATGGAGATTTTATAACAGACCCTGGCATCCGTTCTGATGAACTCAAGGGTAAGTGACATATGGTTTCATCTTTACTGTGGCACGGGGATCCTGGTACTGGCCAGTTAGTTACTCCTTACAAAAATAATCCACTAACAAATTGTGAACAGTAAAGGAGCTGTCTCACGCTATTTTCTTTATTTAGAAGACACACACACACACACACACACACACACACACACTGGCACTTTCACATGTATCTTCACCTTGCCTGTGACAGCTTCATTATGTTTGAACAACCCACCGACTCCACATACTTTGAGCAGATGTGAGGATGTATATGTAGTTTTCTTTTTTAAAAGATGATATTAAAACCAATTTCAATCAAATATAAATGCAAATCTTAATTGCCGGGACATTTACATAATTGTTGACATGGACTCAGGTGGTTGGCGGATTAATGATCTGAGTCACTGTTACAACTGACTCTCTGGATCTACAATTATACTTTTGCACCAGCATGTAATTGGGGCTGAAGCTATGCGCCTGCACTTCAGGGAGTGGCTTTACAAAACCTGCTTCTGAGCTTGCTGAAGGAAGTGCCCCAGCAGGGACACCCGCAGCCCTAGCGCACTCTCTGAGGAGGCAGAAACACTTCCTCACACTCTGAACTCTCTTCAATACAATTTAACTTGATTTGATTAAATTTCATTCCATTTGACTTAATTCAACCCAACTCAATTTAATTCGAGTCAGTTTAATTGAATAAATATATACCCAATTCCTACTATGTGCAAGACCATGCAAATAATCAGGAAAGGGGCTTATTCTTTTGAAATTAAGAGAGAGTAAGAAAAATAAGCTCAAAAATAGCACCTCATTTGTTGGCTCTAAGCTCCAGAATATATCTGGAACCCACCTACTTCTCTCCATCCTATCAACACACGATCCAAGCCAGTCTCCTCTCAGGGACTGTGGCAGGACCATTTAGATGTCCCTCCGCCCTTCCCTCTTCCATGAAATCCATTATGCACCAGAGTGGCCTTTAAAAATGCCATTTAGGTCCTGCTGGCAATTCCTCAGCAGTTTATTATCACTTATTCAAATTTAGGTCTTTTGAGTGAAATCCAAATTCCTTCATATACTCTATTAGGCCCAACATGGTCTGGCCCCTTGGAACCTCTCTGATCTCATCACAGTATACCCTGACCTTTGATAATTCCACTCAAGTCAGAAGAACTTCCTGTCATGGCCTTTACGCCTCAGGCTATCTGCACTTGCTGTTGCCTCTACCTGGATGCTTTTCTGCTAGATGTCATGGTGGCTTTGCCTTGATTTTAGACTGCTCTCAAAGTCACTGACTCAAAGAGGCCTTCTATGCCAGTCTCAAACATGTCCACATCTACCAGTGCCTCTTTGCCACTCCCCCTGGTTGTTTCTTTCAGATCACCCAGCACAATTTGGAATTGTATGATTTAGTTATTTATGTCTTTGTTGTCTCTCTCCGCCACTGGAAGAGGGCTGAGCTTGTTTACTCTTGGGTTCTCCATCGCCAAACACCCACCCTTGCCATAGAGTAGACATCAGGTCAAAAGGTGTTGAATGTTGGGCTGGGGATTTAGCTCAGTGGTTTTGCCGCCTGCTGTGCAAGCGCAAGGACCCAAGTTCGATCCTCGGTACCACACACACACAAAAAAGGTGTTGAATGTTTGAACATGTGGCTTAATTATGCTAAAAAGTGAAATGTGGAAGTTGCCACTAGAGGAAATGAGAGGAGCTCCGTGGGGCTCGTGCGGTACACACCACGTCAGGGAGATCAGGAAGAACTATCTGACAGAGGTGGCCTTCAGGTAGGCCTGAATGGGTTTCGATGCACAGAGGGCTGGGGAAACCCCCAGGTAGGAGCAAGGGCTTGGAGGTGGATTTGGGGGTGGTGCATGGGGAGAGGGGTCCCTGGGTGTTCTGGAGGTAAAGGCCATGTGGACAGCAGTAGAAATAGATTCCAATTCTGCCTCAGTCACTTAAAAGGTAAATGATTTACCCTGGTAAGGGAGGGGGTGTCCTCTCCTGTTGAGAAGGACCTGTGAGCTTGTGCTGTGCAGTGTCAGAGGAGGACCCGGCCCCCATTGAGCCCAGTGCAAACAGTGCAGCTGTTCTGCAGCTGGTGTGAAAGGGGTTGTGCAGACCAGGCTGCAGTTGGGACTGAGACCTATAAACCCAGGGAAGGAGGCTTAGATTTAAGTTGTGTTTTGTGGTGTCCTGGATACTTTGCAGACTTACGAAAGGGAGATACGCTCTTGAGATTTTGTGGCTGTTATTGGGACACTGGGCAGGGGCCACAATTACAAAAATTCTTCAACTCATTCCTAACATTTAAAAGTAAAGAGATAGCTAACAAAAGTCTGGATCTTGGAACTCAGAACAGTTGAAGGCCTGGAAAGGCGAGGCTCCCTGGCTCAAGAATTGGCTGCCTATTTACTGAGGTCTGACTCTGCATTTGTCACCTTCCACACCTCCCTCTGCTATCATCCTCTGCCGGCTTCTGTCATTTACAACCCCGGCACAGCCGCTGTAGGCACCTGAGTCCATGGCTCTTGACACATCAAGTAACAGGACTAGAAGGGACCTTGGACACCATCCAGTCTTGGCAGCTGATGTGTACTAAGCTCCTACTCCATGCTGGGTTTGTGCCTGAGGCTTTCTGCACTCTTTCCATTTCAGCTTCACCACAGGAATTGTTAACCATCATTTGGAGGAGGATCAGGCAGAGCAATACATTTCTTAGGGCTGGTGCCTGACATACAAAATAAGACCACCTTGACTCATTTTCTATTTCACAGATATAAGAAAGAGGGAGAGAAAGTTGCTGGAGAGGGCTGGATATGTCCAAAGTGGGAGCTCAGTGCTGGCTCTGATTGTGTCCACCATAGCCATCGTGTTGACATTCACATGCCACGTCCTCCTGAGGCGCGAGCTCACTGCCTCTGCGGTAAGGACTAGCTCTATCTCTGGGCTTCTTTGCACCTGGTATCAGAAGACGCAGATGAGCAGGGGCTTCCCACTTTGTTTAACTCCAGCATCAGAACACTCACTTCCAGGTAGCCAAACTGTGCCAGACTTCAACCCCAACTTTCAAGCAAGTGCTTGGGCTGGCAAGGAGCCCAGGAGACCCTGACAATGGTCCTTACCCTGTCCATGGCAGGGCACGGGTAGTGGTTCACACTGGGGAGAAAAATGGAAATGGAAAGAGCACCTGATTATTTTACTCACATGCTGTGCACGATACAAAGGGAATGTTGGAGGTATTGGGAGAGCAGTGGTATTGGGATCAGAGCCCCCCCATCCCAGCTTCATAGCCAGGTCTGCCCTATTTAAATCCTGACTCTCCAACTTCCTAGTTGACTTAGGGCAAATCATTGAATGACTGTGGCTTTGGTTTTCTTATCTGTAAGCAGCACAATAATAGTCCCTACCAGCAGAGTTCTAAGAACTGAATGAGCTACTTTAGGTGAAGCGTTTGGAATCATCCTGGCCCTCAGATGTGGTCTCATCATTTGCTGTTCTTGTTAGCCTGGGTCTCAGCCAGGCCAAGCAAATGTGGGTTGCAAGCCTCAGAGCGGAAATTGGGGTGAACGTGAGGTGTATACACTTTTTTTTACTTGGGCCTGAGGATTCAAAGTAAAGAAATGCTGAGCTAGAGGGAAAATGACCCCCGGCTTATAGAAAGAAAAAAAAAGTTAAGATTTCAAACCAAGTGTCTGCAGGACAAGCAGTTGAAGGACAATTTAAAAAGGCAAGGAAAAAAAGAGAAAGGAATGAAAGAGTAATACCAATCTCACAGAGGAAGAATTGTACAAGAATTGTGAGAAGCCAGGATGCTCTTACTGGGTCTACTCTGTGGGGCTGTTAGTTCCATTCTTACACTCTGTGTGTGTGTGTGTGTGTGTGTGTGTGTGTGCGTGGTGTATTTGTACATGCAGGTGTTTGCGTTTATTTTTTCAGGTACTTCAGCAGATAATGCCTCTTGCCCACTTTACTGTTATCATACTCTAGGGCTTTGAACCCAGCTGTGAACTTAAAGCCAAAATGAATGGCAATCATATACTGAAGCCTGAACGGAACATTGTCCAATTATTGTAACTGCTGTCTATGACCCCAAACAAAATACACATTTTCTCCAGCAGCAACACATCAAGCAAATCAATTTGAAACCAAATTAAGTACATGTAGTTAATATTTTCTAACATGATGGTTTAGTAGAAATCTAGACCTAAACCAAATTTTCTACAAGCAAAGCTTGTAATGCCTTTGGATTCAGAAACCCTTACAGGCCCTCCCTCTGCGAGGGCTGCGTCAGGAGGTGGTCAGCCCCAAGCTGCTGTTACATTAGGCAGCCTAGCTGCTCTATCAATCAAAGCCCAGGCTTATTGAGCTAAGGAGGTGCTCAGGGAACCTGAGAAAGTAGGGTTCCCTTTGGGGATGTATTCAGGACTGGAGGTGATGGGAGCATCTTTCATCATCCTATTAATGAAGGAACTAGATTTATTGAAGCCCGGGACCCTGCCCATGGGTCCTATTCAATAACAGCCAGGTTCTCTCAGGTTTTGTTAAAGGAAGTTGTGGTATTAACTTCTTAAATGAGTGGCGAGAGAAGGACTGCTAACTCTATGTCAGACAGATGATCTGACAGAATCTGAGAGATGAGTCATGCACCACTGGGAAACAGAAGGGAGGAGACCTGTTTTCATTGAATTTCTCCGATGTTTATTCATTAGGCAGTTCTCAGTGGAAAAGACCCAGTGAAGACAGGAGATGACTTTTATGGGGGGATACCATTGAATGAAAGCTCTCAAATCTGGCCTTGGTGTATGGGATGGTAGGGCCTAGAAGCTAGGCTCTGGGAGCAGGAGAGCTGGAGGTCACTCTTTAGTAGCTGGAAGGGGCAAGCAGGTCCTCCTGGGGAGCCACCATCTCCATCTCTGACCCCAAAGGTCCAGATGCCCCTCAAAAGCAGACAGTAGAGCATGATCTAGGGACATCCGCATAGACTTTTGAATAAATGCCTAGGTTTGAAGGAGGATGTGGTATGGATAGAGATTTCTAAAGGTATTCAGCTAAAGTCCTGTCCCAGATGCTCTCCATCCTGAATCAGTGGACACAAGTGGACATATTTTCAACTATTTCAATGAAAACCAAAAAGCAAAATAGGTCTAGATGCTCCTGTCTCTAATTTGCCAACCCATAGATCCTGGGCCACGAAATGAAAAGGTGTTCCTTTGTGAATCTCACTGTGCCAACGCCTCTTATCTCAGAACTGTAACTCCCATGGATAGAATTGTTTAGAGCCAAAGCCACCTCCCATCCTAAACCTTGTACTCTTTTTTGTTCTTCAGGCATTTAGTGTGATTGCCATGTTTAATGTAATGAAGTTTTCAATTGCAATCTTGCCTTTTTCGATCAAAGCAGTGGCGGAAGCCAATGTCTCTCTAAGGAGAATGAAGGTATAAGTAACTCTGGGTAAGTAGGGAAGAGAGATTTCATTTGTGGGTAAGGAAACAATTGGATTTGGCAATGTTGTACCAATCCATTGGAGGGCTGGATTGCTTGTTGGATCGACCTTGGGAAAAGGGCATCTATTCAGAGTTGGAACAATAAATGCACAAAGGGGAACAGTCAGGATTTTATAGGTGGTCTGCTCTTGTAGGAATGATGAGATAGAGTCTCTGCACATGGAAATGATGTTCCTGACCTCTACTCTTGATCAAGCCAAGAACCTTAAGTTGTCCCAGCAGTGGGGTCCGGTTTGGACTGAGCTAACCCTCCTTTCCCTGGTTTGTTCTGTGAGGGGTGAGGTGATGGGAGTGATGAGGTGGACTGATACAGTTGGTCATTTATTTACTCTTCATTCATTGAAGATTTACTGCATGTCTCTGATGTACAAGGCATGTAAGAAATACAAATATAAGAAAGAGAATCTTTACCTTCAAAACCTCCGCTCTGGTATGGAGCCAGGTAACCTAGATATTTATGTGCAGGGTAAGGGTATAAGTAACATGCAGGAAGAGCAAGTGAAGTAATTTTGAAGTTCAAGTGAGGAAATTAAAAGGAGAGGGGCATTCTAGTCAGGAAAAGATGTTTTAGATATCTGCATTGATTGAATGGTCTTCACCCAAGCCAGAAATCTGGAAGTCATCTTAAGCATCCTTGTTTCCTATCCTCCTTTCTGGCTCACTTTCCACAGCCTACAAATCCAGGGCCTTATTGAGTCACCTCCTGATCACCATACTCCCTCAGTTTTAAGAGGAACCATTGTAAGATCAGATTAGAAGTTGCACTGATGTCACTTTTTTAAAAAATTCATTAATTTATCGGTACATTTTAGGTATACACTATGATGACGTTCATCATTGGGAATTTGTACCTTTACATGCTATATTTTGGTTCTTATTTTTTCCCCCTTCCTCTGCCCTCCCTTCAACCCCTCTACCCCTCCCTATTTACAAAGATTTTGTTTCCATTTTTTCCTTTTCTCATATTTCTTTGTTCCCTTTGTTTCCTTTCCCCTACCCCTCCCACTTCACCTTCCTCCATGGACCTTTTCTTCCTACTTCACATTATGTATTATACATTTTGATCCTCATTTATACATTCAATTTCTCACACCAGAGAAACTATTTGGTATTCACACATGTGTTCTATTTATTTCACTTAAGAGTATGGTCTCAATGTGCATCCATTTAGCTATAAATGTCTTTAATTTCTCATTCTTTATGGCTGGGTAGTATTCCACTTTATAGAAAACCACATTTTCTTTATCCAGTCTCCAGTTGATGGGCAATTGGGCTGTTTACAAGTTGTAGCTATTACAAAATGTGCAGCTATAAACATGGGTGCACATATATCTCTGTGATATGATTCTTTTAACTCTTTTGGGAAGATACCCAGCAGGGGAATAGCTGGGTCAAATGGGACCTCTAATCTGAGTTCTTTGAGGTCTCTCCATACTGATCTACAGTGGTTGCCCCAGTCTACACTCCCACCAGCAGTGGAGCAGGGTTCCTTTTTCCTCACAACCCTGCCAGCATTTGTTATTGGTTGATTTCTTTTTTTTTTATTAAGTTTATTTATTGGTACATTTTAGGTATACAATATAGTTACATTCATCATTGGGATCTTGTACCTTTATATGATGTATCTTTGTTCTTATTTTTTCCCCATTTCCTGGCCCACCCTTCCCTATTTACAAATAATTTGTTTCCATTTTTTTCTTTTCTCATATTTTTTCTTTTCTTTCTCCTACCCCTCTCATTTCCCCTATTCCTTTAGACCTTTTCTTCCTTTTTCATAATATCAATTATACATTTTGATCCTTATTTACACTTTTAGTTTTTCACACCAGAGAAACTATTCGGTATTTACAGCCATTCTTTCTGGATGAGGTGAAATCTCAGCGTTGTTTTCATTTGCATCTCTCAAATGATCAGTGATGTTGAACATTTTTTCATATGTTTATTTGGTATTTCTACTTCTTTGAGAAGTGTCTGTTCATTTCAGATGCCTATTTTTGGATTGGGTCTTTAAATTTGGGAGGTCTGATTGTTTTCAAGTTCTTTATGGATTCTAGATAGTAGACCTTTGTCTGAGAAGCAGCTGGTAAAAGATTTTTCCCATGTTGTAGGTTGTCTCTTTACACTGTCGGTGGTTTCTCTTGCTGTGCAGAAGCTTTTTAATAAGATGAGATCCCAGTTGTTGATTCTTTGTGCTAGTTCACATGTGACTGAGGTTTTGTTCATGAAATATATTCCTACGCCAGTGTCTTCAGGAGTTCTACCTAACCTCTCTTCCAGCTGGTTTAGTATTTCTGTTTTACTATTTAAATCTTTGATCCATTTCGATTTTAGTTTAGTGCCTGGTGAGAAACATTGGTCTAGTTTTAATCTTGGCAAGTTGAAACCCAATTTTTCCAGCACCGTTTATGAAAGAGGCTCTGATACCACTTTTTCAACACAACATTTGACACCATCACATTCATGGTATATACTGTGATATCAGAAAAAAAACTTAAAGATGCTTCTTAGGCTAGAGGAGGGCATCATTTCTTTAATCCTCAGCCTCCACTCTTTTCCAATTGCTATCACCTTTACTCAGGGGCTCTATAATTTGCACCTGAACTACCACTGTTGCTTTACAGACCAGTCCTCCTTTCCCAGTGTTGTCCTCCTCAAATCTATATTGCACTCAACTCCCAGAAACCTGTTAAAATACTCGAATGACTGCTGCTCCAAATCCTGGAATACTTTTCCCTTTAGGACAGGGGCCCTCCTTCAGTGGGCTCTCACTTTGTCTCCCCTTTGTTTCCCATCCCCTTCCTATCTGGAGCTCTATGACTTAGTAATCCTGAATTTCTCGTTTCATGGCCAGACCCTACTCCAACAACCATGCCTTGGCGTGACTCTTTGTCTTTGCCCATGCTGTGCCCTCCACTAAAATGTTCTCATCCTTTCTCTCATCTTTGGCTGTACAGCACCTGTACAGACTCAGCTCAGGCACAAACTACATAGACTTCTAGGACGGGGAGCCAAGTGTTCCTTCTCTAGTGATTACGGTGCTTTATTTTGTCACATTTCACTAAAATGTTCTGTGTGTCTTCCTATCTCCTCCCAGGCCAGTCTTTTGGAGGACAGGACCCATATATTACTTATATTTGCATTTCTACCATTTACCCCATAGCCTGGCACATGGTAGGTACTGGACAAATGTTTTGTTGAATGAGCTGAGTGAGGACCTAGAAAAAAGACATAGCAGAGACTGAGAACATGACCTTGGTTTCATATGCATTAGTGCCAAGCAGTGGTCTGTCACCCAAAGACTGGCAAAGGCTGACTATCTTGGACACAAGGGGGGAATATGGCTGGTGTAAGCTTTCTCCAATGTGGGAGACCCACATAAGCCTCGTGGTTAAAGAGGCAACTGTCCCTGATAGTTTGAGCTAGTGGACTATTCCTGCTACAGCTTCTCCTGGGGGAATAACCTCAGAATTTCTTTCCTGGGTGTCCTGAGTAGAATTGCCAAGATTGTGATTTTGGGTCATTCGAAGATATATTGGGAAATGCGAAATAGGAAGAAAAGAAGGTCCAAAGGGGTAGGGGAAGTGGGAGGGGCAGGGGAAAGGAAAGAAGGGAAAGGAAAAATTACGAGAAATGGGAAAAATGGAAACAAAGTCTTTGTAAATGGGGAAGGGTGGAGGGGGTGAAGGGAGGGCTAGGAATGGGGAAAAAATAAGAACCAAGATGCATCATGTAAAGGTACAAGTTCCCAATGAGAAATGTAAATGTGTTGTATACCTAAAATGTACCAATAAAAGAATTTTTAAAAAATACAAAAAAAAGAAGATATATTGGGAAGATTCTTGCAAAAGGATGACTTCTGCTCACTTAATTGTATCTCTTTAATCTTAGAAAATTCTCATAGCTAAAAGCCCCCATCTTACATCACCCAACCAGAAGACCCAGATATCATCTTGCTTTTAGCAAATGCCACCTTGACATGGGAGCAAGAAGCTGGCATAAAAAGTGACCCAAAGAAAGTGCAGAACCAGAAAAGGCACTTTTTCAAGAAACAGAGGCCAGGGGTATACAATGAGCAGAGTCCATCAGTCCAGGGGATTGCCAGCCCTGAGGAGCAAAATGGCAGCCCCAAATCAGTTCTGCACAATATAAGCTTTGTGGTGAGAAAGGTGGGTGTGCCAGTCAGTTTGTGTTGCTTTTATAAAATATCTGATTAATTCACTTATAAAGAGAGAAAGTTAATTTTGGCACATGGTTCTGGAGTTTCCAGTTCAAGATTGGGGGTCCCATGGCTTTGGGCCCGGGGAAGGGTAACACATCATAGCAGGAAGTGTGTAGCAGAGCAAATCCCTGACATCAGGAATCAGGAAATAAGAGAAATGAGAAGCATTTGGGGCCCATTAAAGCCTTTTGGCCTGAGGACACCCCACAAGGTTCCTCCTCCTAAATGTCAACACCCCACCCAGTAACACCACCCTGAGGACTGATCCTTTAGCATACTGACCCTTGTGGGTTCTAAAAGTAAAGCCTCCATCCCTCCTCCTTGTATTGCATAGCCATGGCTTTCTCAAGCCTCTTAAAAGTCACTTTGAGCTGCAGGTGGTAGTGGGAGGTTCTCCTGGGACTGGGATGACTCAGTTTTAAAACTGTGTCCATGAACATAGGAGGCCTCTTCCTGAAACTTAGAGAAGATGGTTTCATATCAGTATTGACTTTCAATGCCTTTTGTGGAACCAACTGCAATTTTGAATGGACAATCCATTTCAGATGGTTAGCTTCAAACTGACTAGCTTTCATAAATCTTTAAAAGTTTGTTCTGAATTTCACATTGGAGTATTAAGGTAGATAATGATAACTAACAATTAGGAGCACTTACCATTTACCAGGTACATAATTAACTCATTTAGCCATTCCAGTAACCCTATGAGGTAGGTCCCATAACCACCCTCACCTTGTGACTGAGGAACCTGAGGTACAAGGAAGTGAAATAACTCACCTAAGTTCACATAGCTAGCAAGTGGCAGAGGAGGGCTTCACCTCAGGGTGCCTAGCTTCAGTCTGTACTCCTCACCACCATGAATTACTCTCTTGTAAAAAGCAAAATGAGATCAACAATCACTCCAGCAAAAGGGGGCAGCAATCCCTTCAGGTTTGAAGGACAGAGTTTGTAGATGTGTGTTTAGGGATCTTGCCTCTCCTGCATGCATCCTTTTGCACCGAGGACTTGGCAGCAGTGCTCCCAGGGCACCAGTGTTGATTTTGCTGCAGAGGGTTCAACATTGATCTCGTACCTCATATTTTAGTCTCCTATCTTGTAGACTCACTCTTTCCCTGTGTAAACTCTACAGAATGAGAGGTGCTCATTTATTATGCAACGTTAAGCTCAGTAGCTATCTTGAGAATGGTACTTCTCATAGCTAACAAGGTCATCTGTCACGTATTCATTGGCAAAAATATCTAAAATTTGGCGGGCTGACTGCAATAGGGCTTTGGATCTTTGTGAAGTAGTATCAAATGCAGCTACTTTGCCTCCTTGTCACTCTCCCTTGTGCCTCTGGGGTGTAGTGGCTGCATGCTCCAACCTTGCCTTCCCAGTTGCTTCAGAAAAGCTCCAGAATGCTGCTGTCATCTTCTAAAGAAACTACCTTTTAGTTCTCCAATAGTTTTACTCTAAATGCTCTTTTTTGTATATTGATAATCTATCAATTTGTGTGTCAAGGGCATGTTTAACATTTTGTGAAATAAGTGGAAGATGCAGTTGGGGTGATACAGCTGTGTGGATTAGGGTGCACTTCTGGGGCCTGGTGGACCTTGGCTCCAGCCCTGGCCACTTACCAGCTATTTGACCTTGTGAATATTGCCAAAACTCTTGACGCCTCTGTCTCTTTACTTGCTTCACGGATCTTATGAATCCTTACTTCACAAGGTGGCTGTGAGAACTGAAAGAGAAGCCCATATAGAAACTTGTTGAGCCCAGTGTAAGTCTCAAGTGCTGTTTCTTTGAACAATCATATCCAGTTTAAGTGCTGCCCTTAAAAACGTCCTGAATTCAGGCCATCCGCGTTTTTCCAAGTGTAGCTCCATGACTGCATTAGACTCTGTCCTCCAGGATGAGGTCGGGGTGTGCTGTTCACAATTATGTCTTTAGCACCCAGCCCAGTGCCTGGCTCACAGGTGCCCAATAAAGTTTGCTGAATGAAAAAATGACTAATGAGGAAGCCAGAGGGTGCTGATTTTCCGCTGAGGGAAAGATGGATCTAGAATGCTTTTACTCAGCCCCCAGAAATGGACAGAACACAAGGGAGAGGAGTCAAGTACCTAGTGAGACTGGATCCATCCATGATGGCTAGCATGGTGGCTGACATTCAGTAAAGATTTGTCAAAGGAATTATGGGAGACAGGTGGCAACCTCATGTGCTGGCTGAGGCAGGCAAGTGATGGGCACATCCGGTCCTGGGTAGGAAAGGAGCCATATTTGTCCCCATGGGGAGGCATCTGTGTTCTAAGGGATTACAGGGAGCAGATTGAATGCAAGTACTCTGGGGTGTTCTGCAGTATTGCGTATCTGCTCAAACAGCAGCAGCAGCAGCACATCACCACAGAACTCAACCTGGGCTGTCCAGCTTCCTGCAGTGGCTACTTCACCTGTCTATGGCTCGTGTCCCCAGGACCTTTTCCTGTGCTCCAGCCATCTTCCAATAGCTAGGTTTGCACCTCTGCTTGAGGGCTCCTCATCCCACCCACAGAGCACCAAGACTTTCATAGCCCAGGAGCAGACTTCAGGCAACAACTATGCTTGGGCTCCCAGAGTTCCTTGAGTTTGCCTGCAGCCTGGAGCCTTGTTTGCTTCCTGTGGGAGCTGACTTAAGAGTCTGCCTTGCATGAGCCCCATCCTTTCCTGGTATCTCTCCCCCTCTTCCCTCCTGGTGTCTTGGAACCTCCCCCAACAAACAGCTTTTACTAAATCCTCGATTCAGGCTCTATTTCTGGGAGAACTCAAGCTGAGACATCTGCCTTTCCAGGAAGACTTTCCTTTCACCCCCACCTCCACCACACACCCTTCTCTTCCTCTTCCTTTGCTTCCTGTCCACCTTTGCCAACTAAAACAGAAGGTCTCTGGGGGCACACGCAGAATTCTTCTGTTGTGCTCCTTGCTGTGTGTGTTACTGAGGGTTCTCAGAACAATACCTGGCATACAGCAGGTACTAAATAATGATTTGATGGTTGAATTCATAAACCCACAGCTGTAGATTAGCCCGATATAGTGCAATAGTGTTGCTGCTTCATGTTTTAAACTGAGTTATTATACTAGAGGAATTCATAAAAAATGACTTTCAAAAAGCACCTATCTCTCCTTACTTTAAAGGCTACCTTTGTTTCCCTGGGCTACATAGCCTTTTACCTTCCATTAGATTTGCTTTCCTGGAGTCTACCATAAGGCAGCCCTCCTGTCCTGTCCTCCAGACTGGCACAAGGCTGTTTTACGTCAGTGCCTGTATGTGATTTCTAGAAGCCCCCTGGGCTCTGCTCTGCTGTATGAGGGAAGCAGTTAATTAAGACTTACATTCCTGCAGCCTCTCGGGCTGTGTGCACTGGGGCTGAGGATGAGGCTGCAGCTGCCACCTCACAGAGCCAGCAGAAACACTTTGTCCCCATGTGGTGCAGCCAACATAGTCTGGGAGGAACTCTTGGCCCAAGATCCTCTGGGAATTTAGGGGAGTTACTGTGTCTTATCTTTATTTCTCTGGCAGGGCAAGGTCGTGGGAATATGTGGGAATGTTGGGAGTGGAAAGAGCTCCCTCATCGCCGCTCTCCTGGGACAGGTAAGGTGTGTGGCGCAAGTTGTGAAGGTGGAGCCCCAATGCGACAATGAAACAGTTCCCTTCTGGCGGTTTGCGGACTTTGGGGACCAGTGGAACAGTGGATGCAGTGGACAGGCTCAGCTGCATTGGGTCTCCTACACATAAATAATGCTGATTTCTGAGCTGTTAACATACTTGGCAGCTCCAGGTCCCTTGGCTAGACAGGACAAAGCTTTTCACGTGCTCCTGGGTTTGTCCTCCGCGATGTGTATTAAATGGTGACCACTTCCTTGCCTAGAGCTGCGTCTGGGTCAAGAAGAGGTGGATCATGGCATCCATAGCTTTTGCCATGACTTGGGCTGTCCTGATTTGGAAAATCCAGCAAGGCAACTTGGTGGGGAATGAAAGAGTCTGGGACTGGTGGTGACATCAGATGAGTTTTTTCCTCATTTGTCTCCATATACCCAGTGTCTTCCCAGAACCAGTGCTCAACTAAGCCAATCTCAGTGAAGGAGTGGCTGAATGAATGCATCTGCAAACCTCCTATGAGAGAGACAAGCTGGGTCCTGTCTTCTCTCTGATACTTCTGGGTGCATGATCCCAGGGGAAATGGCCAGGCCATTTTACTACATTCCCAGGCCTCTATGTTGTCGTGGTTTCTGAATTCTATTCTAAATGAATGAGAAAGTTTTTGGAGGAAGATGTTAAATCCTTCTTCTCCCTACTCTGCTAAAGAGAAGGTTTTGCATCTGAGACTACCTGCAGCCAGAAGAGGTTGGGGTGCCTCTGAAGAAATGAGGACCTCAGGGTGGGATAGCTGGGAAGTATTTTCTCAACTCCAATGTGAGTGACTTCCTTTGGCCCCCATGGTTTCTCTGTAGACAGAGTGACTACCCCTTCCCTGTGGAGAGTTGGGTGGGTTCCCAAGGTGACCATGCTCTGGGATGCAGTGTGCGTGCCGCTGTAATGGCCTAGGTTTTGGCATCCATATTGGAGGTGACCCAGCTCAGTTTTTCACCCAAGGACAGGAATCTGTGTGACAGCCCTCATAAGAGATCCTCCAACCTGTGCTCAAGTATCTCCAGTGACTGGAAACTATTTCCTAGTCAGTCTCATCTTTGGAGTGCTTTGATGTGTATTGGAGTGAAATTTGCCACCTTTTAACTTCTGTTCTCTTTTCTTCTCATTTAGGGGCATCTCAGAGGAGATAGGATCTCTCTCCCTGAGACAGTGGTGGGGTTGGACTTCTCCCTGTGGTTGGTGGGTGGCTGGTAGTTACACCAGTGAGCTCCAGACTGCCTCCAATGCCTTAGCCATTGGCCACTGTTTAACTTTGGGCAAGTAAATTAACCTCTCTGAGGTTTGTGTTCCTTATCTATAAAACAGGGCTAAGGCGAGAATTGGTCAGGATTAAATGAGATAATTTTTGTAATAGTTGGATATAGGATGATTCCATGGTGATAAACATCTTATATACACTCAACCCAGTCCCTGGACATTTTATCTATTACTATTACTGTTATCATTAATATCATTATCTCTTATTCAAGTCTAATTCTGTGTCCCTGAGTCTATTCCTGAGGTGAAGTGGTACCACATCCTTTGACACTTTCTCTAGCCTCTGCTTCTGCTGTCCCATGAGCACTAGCCCTGAGCATGGTGGCCTGCCCATGTGTTCCCTCTTCTGATAGCTTTGAGCATCGCATCACCACCAATGTCCTCATTATCTATCATAAGCCCACCAGTGGGGTCACCTTAAATTACCTTATATGCTCAGGGTCAGAAACTGGAACCTGGGTGTATTTTTTAATTGGATTGCTTAATGATTCTAAGTCCCAGAGTTACACATGAAATGGGACTTTCCATTCCTCTTGAAAAATCAGAAACTCTGGCCACACCAGGCCTGTATCCTTACCTAGTGCCAACTGTACAACTGAGTTATGGCTGCTTCCTTAATGCAGGACACACCAGGGATCTCTATCAATAGCATGTAGGCCATGCCCTGCTTCCAGGGATGTGGCTACTCTAGTTACTTTCTCATTCCTGAGACAAAATATCTGACACCTACAAGTTAGAGGAGGAAAGATTTATTTTTTCTTACAGTTTGTGGAAGTTTTACTCCATTGCTATCTGGTTCCAAGGCAGGGCGGCATGGCAGAGGGGCTTGGTAGAGGAGAAACAGTCCATGGCAGGGTAGGCAGGAGGCAGCAGCCTTCCTTCTTTCATTCCTTTTTATTTCACCTAGGCTATAAGCCTATTGGTTGGTGCCACTCACACCCAGGGTGGATCTTCTGCCTTCAAGTAAATCCATTCAGCCACATTCAGAACTATGCCAAATCAATCAATGTACTAAACCAGTTATCACATACCCATGATCCATTATCCCACACCTATGATCCAGTCACTCCCCAAAGCCCCACCTATAAGCATATGAGGCTTTGAGGGGCTAGATACAAGCCAAGGAGGTTGGCACCCAGCTAGTGCACCTAGAGGAAGTGAAGCCTCTTGCAATCAGTCTGCTCACAGGGAATCTCATAGGAGTGGGCACAGGGGTGCCTTGTGTGCCATAGAAGCCCTGCAATCTGAGCTTTCCAGTCTGTAGGAGCCTCTGCCTAAGGTTTCTTGCCTGGCCCCTGGAAGATGTGACTTTGAGACTCTCCTTCTGCACAAATGGGCTTTGTAATACACAGACGGGTATCTTGTCAACCTGCACCTTCCCAGTCAATGCTCATGACCAAGCAGGGCATGATGATTCCCAAGGAAAAATCCTTGGGATTTGGCTTCTGAGCATTCTCTGGCATTGTTGTTCCAGATGCAGTTACAGAAAGGGATCGTGGCAGTCAATGGGACTCTGGCCTATGTTTCACAGCAAGCCTGGATCTTTCATGGAAATGTGAGAGAAAACATCCTATTTGGAGAAAAGTACAATCACCAAAGGTAATGTTAGTGTCCAAAGTGTGAGGCACTGTATGCTTGGCTACAGATGCAGAGGCCATTGGTAATGATTACTAAGTGGGTTTCTTTAATGAGCTCTGATAAAACATTCATTGGATCTACATGGGAACTGCTTCTCTCTATCTGACCCAAGGGTTCAGGAGAGGCACCTTCTGCAGACCCACAATCACACACTGAGAAGAGGATGCAATTGACACTCGGTTCCTAGGGCAAATTACCATATGGTCTGAGGTTTTGTGTAGCAGGGCATATGTTGTCTGACTGGAGAAAAATGAATCTGGCAAATTTGCTTTGGGCTGAGTAACCAAAACTTTACTTAAAATTATGAGCAGCAGGCATGCAATTAATCAGCCCTGGCATTATTCATTGGTATCAGTGCTATCAGGATATATAATTGTTAGTGTCCTCAAAATGAATTAATGAAATAAAAACAAAGTTCCAGTCGTAATTATTTGATATATGTTGGGCTGTTATCTTTAAGCTCTGGAAAGTAAAAGCTTCTTAGGGTTTTTGCTGAGCTTGATGTACTATCATATGCTTTCTCTCATGTGAGTCCCCACACTACCTACCTGTTCAAGGGGATCCTGGCATTACATCTCCATTGCACATATGAATAATCTGAAGGCCAGAAAGGTCATTGATTGGCCCAAGGTCAAAGCTACTAGATGGCAGCTTGAGTCTTTGAGTCCTGGACTTAGGTCTTGAACCCCAGCATCATTTGCTCTCACTGGAGCTGCCCAACTGCTGGGTCACTCAGGATGCCCCCCCCCCCCACTCCACCACCACCAACCCACCCAAGCACCGCAGTGCTGAAGTGAGAAGAGAGAGTTGGCGTAAGGAATCTGCCCGAGGTCTGGGTTTTCTCATCTTGTTGTCTGACCCACAAAACCCTCCTTGCTGGTTCCAATTGGTCAGCATGTATGTTCCCAGCAAGAGGCCTGGGGTATGACATTCCACCCCCAGGAGGTGGTAGCAAGAAGGTCCCATCAACCTGGGAGTCCTTGTACCAGCCAAAAGTGCTCTCTGCTCAGCATCTCCTGGCCCTGACCCCCTTCACCGGTGTCTCTTCCTAGCCCTCAGCTGGAACACCTACTTCTTCCACAGAAGCAGGCTGGAAGGATGGTTCCTCTATTAATAAAGGAAATTCAAAGTGTAGTTACATAACAGTGCCTGCCATATGCAGGGCGCAGCACAGGGGGACATGGAGATGAATCTGCCCTCCAGGTGCTCAAGTCTGGAAGGGGCCATAAGAGCTGCAAAGATGAGGGGCTGCAGATAAGACTGATGGCTGAGTGGCAGGAGATGTCAGGGGCAGGGGTTCAGGAAAGCAAGGGCAGCATTTGCATTGGGCCTTGAAGGGAGAATTGAGCACCCTTCATCTGTGGCTCTTTAGCAGAAATTTGGTTCCTAGGGTAGAAATTGTGGCTCCCAGGAACCCAGGAAACATGAAGGTGGTAGGAAATTTAAGCTGGGAGTGACAAAGGGTGACAATGTGCTGAGCAGCCTGAATCTTGCAGCTGAAGGTTGGCAAAGGTAATATTAGCTCCCTTGGTGGAGAATATGCAGTGCACCAGACCTTGTGCTAATGGCTGTGCATATGCTTCCCTGTTCCTTTCTCACAGCAACCCAACTGTCATTAGCCCAGTTTTATTGAGTAGAGTGAGGATCACAGAGGCCCAGCAACCTTGCCAGGGTCTCCCATTGGGTACAACCTACGTCATCCTGATGGACACAACCACTACGTATTCCAGCCCCAAAGGTGGTGCGTGAGTGGCATGCTCAGGGCTGTGCCAAGTTCTGATCTGGAATCCAGGGGCCTGGGAGCCACCTGAGGTCCAGCTGCTCAGGGGCTGCCTGCTGTCTTCTTGCTTCTCCCTTTTTACTGGGAGCGCATGTCTTTCAGGAGATTCTGATGATGATGATGATGATAGTAATAATATTAGTTAATCATAAATCAGTCTCTGTGGAGGCAGGAAGCCTATCAAGCAGCAGAGAGACCTAGGGTCCAGCTGTGGGGTCTGGCAGCTGTATAGATGAGGATAAACCCAGCTGTCACCAGCACTCCAGCCACACAGAGCAGGAGCCACTTCCTGTGAGGGGTGCAGCGATGCCCAGTGAAGGTTCTGTTTGTAGTGGGGCTGTCTGTGTGGGGATGAGAAGGGGAGAGCGTGAGCTTCTCTCATGAAACAAGGCCTGCAAATACTACTAAGCACTGACTTTCCCAATCCCTCGGTGCCAGAATTCCCAAGGAGTGGGACAATGGTGGCACTGAGCCCTCAGCTTTGTCCCCTCTGTAGGGCAGGTGCTTGTCCCGGCAGCATGGCTGCTGCAGAGCTGCTCAGGGCCTCTTGAGTCCCCCTCACCAAAGACAGAACCCCAAGGCTGAGAGAGGGCAATGGAGATACCAAGGGAGAAAATAGAAGCTGAGAAGCTCAAGAGCTGGGGCTTTGATCCTACTCGACTTCTCCCCTTTAGGTGGTGCTCTGTGACTCAGTTGCCCCAGGAACAGAACCCTCTTCTCTCCAGCCTGGTGGGAGTGATGGGTGATCGAGTGGCTTTCTGGGGCAGAAGGGGCTCAGCAGATGTCAGACTCCAGGCCTAGGCTCTTCAGCTCCACCCCAATGACTTTAGCCCTCACGGTTGACCACACTCTTTGGCTCCAGGAGCAGTGCTAGCAGCTGGTATCCCCAGCGTTCCCTTCAGGGGTTCCATGTACACTTGTTCTATGTACACTGGTGTCATTGTCCTTGCGTGGCAGAACCCTCTGGGGGAAGGGCCATATTGTGTCAACCCTGTCATAAGGGAGTGGCCTGGGGAGCCAAAGGGATGCTGCCCTGGGGACCTCCAAGACAGAGCCACTGGTCTAGGAGCCTTGAGCTGGGCCTTTGCTGCCTCCGTACCTGGCCACAGCAACACAGTGGCCCTGCAGAGGCGGCCCAGGGGGTGGTGCTGGGGGTCTTTCTCGCCGTGCTGAGCTCTGACCTTTGCACCTGCAGGTACCAGCACACAGTTCGAGTCTGTGGCCTCCAGAAGGGCCTGAGCAGCCTCCCTTACGGAGACCTGACAGAGGCGAGCAGAGTGGGGCTCCAGCCCACCACGCTGCCCTGTGGCCCAGTTGCCCATCAGGTCTTGATTTACCTTCAGGGACCCTGGGGCAGAAGGACCCCAGGAAAGGAAGGCAAAGTTTAGGTTCTATGTATATGGGTCTGTTCTTGTGGACATTGCCACTGGCACGGCACCAAGCCACTATGTTGATTCACTGTGGTCACTGTCAGGGCCATTTCCATCTGTGGTCATGTCAGGAAAGGTTTCTGTGCAAACTGCTTCTCACCTCAGGGCCAGAGCAGGGGCCCAGGCATTGCCTGTTGCTGGAGCCCTCAGGACCCCTCTCACCTCACTGGCTCTGCCCAGCCCAGGAGCACGAGAGTCACCCCCAAAGAGTGTCCCTGGGGTGCTTGTCCAAAGAATTGGCTTGGTCCTGGGGTGAGCCTCCTGACTCACGGGACCCAGGGGAGTCACCACTCCATCTGCCCCTCTCCCCAGCCCACTGTGCCTTTGCATAGTGGTCCCCCTTTGCCAGTCCCTGAGGAGCTCAGAAAGCTAACACTGTCTGAGGTTCTGACCAGCTCAGAGCACACTGTCTTTCTCTGCTGGTGAGCTCAGTCTGCCTGCAAAGGACTGGGCCAGCACAACCTCCTGGCCTGACACATGCAGCCCTTGCCTGCCTACCAGGTTGCATCTCTGCCTGCCCTGCCTGACCACCCTAAAATGTGCACTCACCTCTGAGCCTGTCTTTGCTCCTGCTGTCGTTACCCTACTTTGAGTTCTGATCCCGAATCTACCTCCTTGAGGAAGACATTTTGAAGTCCTGTAATCTGGAACAGTCTGCCCCAAAGCACTCCAGTTCTGCTTCACTCCAGCACTGCTTCTACTCAGCACTCATTGAATTCTGCTTGGTGCCATTGTATTTGTAACTTCCACCCTGAAATACAAGCTCCCAACAAACAGGGTGCTTTTCTTGTCCAGCTTCCTTGGTCCCACCCCTAGCACCCAGCTCAACACCCCAACAGCTGGACATGATATGGGTTCACTTCAAAATACCTCCAAGTAGCCACCTAGGGATTTCATCCTTTCCATACCTCTCCATACTGAGCCTCATCTCTAAGGATCAATGAACAGGAACATGCTTCCTCCCTTCCCAGAGTGTAGATTTGCCTGCTATGGAGTAGTTGCTCCACATGAAAGCAAATAGATCTGTCTCCTTCCTGTTCCTGATCCATTCTCCCAGAGCTTCCAGCTCTAACAATTCCCTTGGTATACTGGTCAAGCTGTAGCCTCTTCCCTTGGGCTACTCACTGGCATGGAGGTATTGTGAGGCAGACACCTCTCACTTGGCATCAGATAAAGCAGCTCTCTACTGCCAACACCCCTGGGCTTCTGTGATGGCCAATCTGTCTGTTAGCCTGCCAAGTCCTGAGAAGCTTTGGGATGCTCCTGTTCTTGAGAACTGGAAGGTGGTGGGTGAGGGTCTGTGATGGGCTGTGCCTTTGCCCTTGTCTGCAGATCGGGGAGCGGGGTCTCAACCTCTCTGGGGGGCAGAGGCAGAGGATCAGCCTGGCCCGTGCTGTCTACTCCAACTGTCAGCTCAGCTGCTGGACGACCCCCTTTCAGCTGTGGATGCCCATGTGGGGAAGCATGTCTTTGAGGAATGCATTAAGAAGACCCTCAAGGGGAAGACTGTTGTCCTGGTGACCCACCAGCTGCAGGTGACTGCAACATGCAGGACCCAGGAGATCTGGGGATGGGTGTGCCACCGGATGCTCACGGTCTCTTCTGTTCAAACACCCCTCTCCTGTCTAAGGCTGTCCTGGAGGGAGTGTGATGGGAGCAGGGGGCACAAGAGACACAGATGATCACTCCAGCCATTCTCTCTTCCAGGTGGCCCTGCTTGCTTCTCTACATGGTCTCCATTGGCCCTACCTTTGGGTTCACTGGGGCTGGGGATGACTGGGCAATGGACTCTTTGGATGAGGGTCCCAAGACCCCACTCATCAACCCCAGGGGAAAAAGGTTGGTAGCCAGCACTTTGGGGTGAGGCCAAAGCTTTGGGAGATCTTCACTCTGCTCAGAATCTGCCCCTTTATTGGGAAGGTGTATCTCTTTCGGGCTTAGGAGCCAGAATCTTTTTGAAGAAACTGAGTTTGTCTTAAGTAAGCAGGAGAATTTGGCAGCGTGGGGACAGGTCTCACTGCATCAGTCCTGCATAATAGGTCTTGAATGCCTGGTGGGAATCCAAGCCCTTCTCTACCCCAAGACAAGCCAGGTTTTGCTTCCTTCATGCTGTCTCCCTTTCCTCTCTACGGTGAGTTCCCAAAGGATTCTGTGGAGGGACCTGCATCGGGAGGCCCACTGGGGCAGAGGGTAGAAGCCACGTCTCCTCTCCCCTGACATGTTCAGCGAGGGCTGGTCTAAGGGCAGGAGGCAGGCAAGGGTACAGAAGGTGGGGTGGGGGTGTGTGGGGAGGCTGCCATGCTGATAGGATGCTGCAGCCAGCATTTTAGGGTCAAGCTGAAGGCCAACCTGATGAGGGAAGAGTTTCTCAAAGACATAGGAAAACTAGGCTTTCCTGTCACTGTGGCCCTGCTCCTGAGGCCACCTTTGCCCAGGACCAGAGTTCTGGCCCCTGACTCAGTTCCACGTGTTTGAATGTTGCATGTGTGGACTGCCAGTGTTCCTTGCACGGGACTTGACAGCCTCCAGGGGGCTGGTGTTGATGAAAGGTCTACTTCCTCTGGTGGCAAGGCTTAAGGGAGGAGGAGGCTGGATTTCTTCTGGACCCCCACGGAAATGGGCTGTGGCCTGGCCAGGGCATTAGACATGATAACCACAGCTTTGGTCTGTGAACATCCTGGAGGGAGAGCTGTTCTCTTGAGGGGTCCCTGGGACCCAGAGAGGAATGCCTCACACCTCACAAGTATGGGGCACAGCTGTCCCTCCAGAGAAAGTTCTAACCTCCACCCTGGGCAAATCTTCAACACTCACTAACCAGCAAGATAACCTTAGGCAAACTCTATCTTTCCCAGTTCTCAGCCTCAGAGCCCACCTTTCCCCAACGTCAGTTTAGCTCCTTTTGCATGTTGGGATATACAGGTGGCCGCCAGGTGGCACCAGCATCTTGCTCCAACCATCCCTTCTGTTGTCAGGAGGAGGGGACTCAGAGCCCCAGAACGGAGCCTGAGGCTTTTCCAGAACATTTCTCTGCTGCTTTTACCTGGGATGTTTCTGAGTGGCTGGGCGGGATGACTATTCTTCTATTCACTGGAGGAAACATGAAATGAGGCCAGTGGCTCCTGGCTCATATTTGACCCAGGGCCAGATTGGTGAGAGTTTGCAGAACAAAATTGCTCAAACTCAAAGAGCCTTGCTGGAGTGAACTCAAGGCTCATGGGCCGGAGGGGGCCTCACCAGCCTGTTCCAGGCCTGGGCATTGGCCTTAGCTTAGGCAGAAAGGGTCGTGTGGCTGCAGCCGGCCCTATGGTGCCTCTTTCCCTATCTAGAAAATTAGCTGATTTATTATCAAGTATTTTGAAATACTAGAAGTGGGAGGCTGAGAGAGAAGAGATTAAGATCAGGCTTTGAAATGATAGAAGATGTACAAACATGAGAGTCTGCCTTCTGAAAGGGTGTCAGAAAGTGCTCAGCCAGTCCAGTCTGGGCTGTCTGGGGAGCTGGACAGGGAGGCAGAGAGGCTGGAGCTGTCTGTGCTGTCAGAACTGCTTTCATTTGACCTTCTTGTCATCACCCCTTCCCTCAAATACCTACCAGGCATATGATTGCCAAACGTAGCCACTTCCTTCAGGCTTCTAATCAAGAGCATCCACAGCAGATTTGACCTTGGATGGACCCTGCAGGACAGGAGGCAACCTCTGGCTCCTGCTCCAGAGTTTCTTTGGGCTGAAATTTCATTTTTTTTGGTACGGGGTTTGAACTCGGGACCTTGCGCTTGTGAGGCAGGAGGTGGCACCACTGAGCTAAATCCCCGACCTGGGCTGAAACTTCTTAACTCTCACAACATTCGCCCACCTCTAGCAGGGGCTTCCTGCCTGAGATGGAGGATCCTATGGGAGAGCTCTGTCTTATTCCAAAAGGAAGGGAAGCCCCTCTAAGCAAAACTCTGATCACAGGAGTGATATGGACCTGAAGGGAATCCAGATGAGAAAAACAGAAGTGTCTTGGGCAAGATGGGGGATGCCGCATCAAGTGAAGCTGTGTCTTTACTGCACAGTTAAAGCCAGTGTAAATCAGGCTCAGGAGTGCAGCTTGTGCCACTGTGCCAAGGTCAGCTGCTCTGGAGCTCTACTGGACGAGGACTTGTCCTGTTTTAAGGAGAGAGGGTGTCACCGAGGTGTTTCCTCTCTACCAATCTTGGCTGCTGTGACTGTCAGTTTCATTTTCATTTTCCACCATCAGATTTTGTAGGAGGGCAGCTCATTTAGGGAGCAGAGGCAAAGGAAGCTTTGTTGTGCTTCATTGGAAAAGCCAAGGCAGGCATTTGTCCTCTGAGACCTGTGTTCCTGATCAGTGGTTCTCAACTCGGTACCCCTGGGGGGATCCGGTGATGTCTGGAGACATTTCTGCTGTCACAACTGTGGGAAGGCGTGCTGCCAGTTTCTAGTGGGTGAAGACCAGAGTGGGGGCTAAATATCCTACAATGCACAGGGCAGCCCCCACCCAAGACAAAGCGTTATTTTTGCCCCTAATATCAATAGTGCCAAGACTGAGAACCCTTATATTAGATATGCTTGATCACTACTGGCTGGGAGTTTGGTGTAGGCTTTTCTCTCTTTAACCAAGGCAGAAGTTCATTATAGATGATTTTACCCTCTCTGCAGTTCTTGGAGTCTTGTGATGAAGTCATTTTGTTAGAAGATGGAGAGATTTGTGAAAAAGAGACCCACAAGGAGTTAATGGAGGAGAGAGGGAGCTATGCAAAATTGATTCGCAACCTCCAGGGGTTGCAGTTCAAGGTAACTTTGTATACCTGTGCAGGGGAAATTGGGAGCCTTCTCTGTGATTTCCTCTCTGGGAGAGATTTTGTCATTTCATTTTCAGAAGGAATTTCATTTTGTCTCCAGGACCCTGAACACATTTACAATGCAGCCATGGTGGAAGTCCTGAAGGAGAGCTCTGCTCAGAGTCAGGAAGATGCTGGTATGGTCAGAGTTAGAATCCTGCCTCTCTTACTGCCCTTTGCTCACAAAGGGATACAGATATCTCTTTATTTCTCACCCTAGTTTTGCCCCCAGGAGATGAAAAAGATGAAGGAAAAGAATCTGAATCGGAGTCAGAATTTGTAGACAAAAAAGGTATTGACCATTCATTCCCTTGGTTACATATTCTTAAGCATGAGTTGGGCATCTACAGTTTGGGATAGAAAGCATAGGAACAGAACATCATTGGGACAGTTAGAACTATATATGCACTATGGTTGAGACTGGCTGAGTTCAAAATCTGGCTCTACTGCTTACTAGTTCTGTGATCCTGAGCAACATACTTGACCACTCTCAACCTTAGTCTTCTAGTACATAAAATGGGAAAATAATAGTACCGATCTCTCAGGTTCTTGCAAAGATTGAATGAGAAACTGTACATAAAGTGATTAACACAGTGCTTGACACACAGTGACCCTCAAGAGTTATTAGTTGGAAAGATCAAAGCAATGCGTGGGGATTAATTAGAGCCAAAAGCAAGAACACGAGCTGTTTCGCACTCCTTATGAGGAGCACCGAGAAAGGACTGTGAAGCAATAAATCGATCAAGGTGTGTATGGGTAATTTTTCCATCACTGGGGCAAAATACAAGATACAATTTGAAAGAGGAGAGATTTATTTGGCTCACAGTTTCAGAGGGTTCAGGGCATGGACAGCTGGCTCCAAGACAGAAACATCATGGCAAAAGGACCTGATAAGGGAAAGCTGCTGCTCAACCCATGGTCGCCAGGACACACACGTGTGCGTGCTCACACTCACACACACACACACACCCCCAGGGGGCAGGCAAGAGCCAGAGTGAGAGATGTAGTCTCCAAAGTCACATCCCTCATGACCCACCTCCTCTAACCAGGCCCACCTGCTAACAGCACATTCAGCTAGAACTCAGCAGTGCTGGAATTCATCAATGAATACAGTGTCTCCATGATCCAATCACCCTCCAAAAGCCTCACATCTGAACACATAAGACTTTTGGGAGATGCTTCAGATCTAAACCATCACAAGGTGGGATAAGGTTGTAGGGGACAGGGGAAGGGGACGTTACCAGAACCTCTGCAGTGAGTCCTGGTCTCCTGCGAGCCACTGCAGCACACGGCGAATTACAGGAAAGGTAGAAAAATGAGACTGAGAAGAAGCTGAGCTCTGGGTCTGATCCGTGCTGCTCTGGGCAGCAAAGACAATAGCCCCCAGCTCACCACACCTTTTATTCAGTACATCGGGAGAAACAAATGTAACAAATGACTTGCAGAGAGTTCAATAGTTCACATTGGGATAAACAAGGTGTAACGGAAGGCTTGCAGAGAGTTCAGTACATCTCCGGCAAACAAGATGTTAATCAGTCCAAGAACAATGAGGAACTGAGCAGATGTTTGTTCTCCCAGGATGTTTCTTGTCCTGGAGAATCACAGCATCACTGGATCACTGAAGTCTCAGTTGTGACAGGAGGCCAAACTGGAGTTATTCTGTAGCTGGGCTGTAGGCAAGAGAACTAGGCTAACCAAATGATTTCTCCCTAGAATTATGTAGCATTGCTCCCAACATAAGGTTATTCATCTTTGAACAAATAAGGGATAAACATTCTACTATGTGCCAGGCACTAAACTAGGCTCAGGGAAAAAAAAGAGTTGCCCCAGTTCTCAGGATCTTGTGGTCTGGTGGGGGTCACAGGCAAATGTGTCACTGTGGGAAACTGCTAAGAGTAATAGGGGGTTAGGGTGGGAGTAATGAACAAGTTGGGGGGTGCTTTACAGAGGGGTGGGCTTTGGACAGTCCTTAAAGGATGCAGAGGAGTTTTCTAGGAGACTGGAGAAAGGGGTGGGGTGGAAGATTTGAGGCAGAGGGCACAAGGAAATTCCAGGAAGGCAGGGAGGACAGATAAGCCTGGCGAGGGCAAGGGTGGCCAAGTGACCTTTCTTCCTTTTGTGTCATTGCCACCTTCCATCCCTCCATCCACTCCGCTGACTCTGTACCCTGACCTGTGCTGAAAACACACATTTCATCAAATTTAAGATGTCGTCCATTGTTTGAAGCCCACCATAATTTAATGTACCACTGAGAAAGAAAAAACACTGCCAATGAAATGATATCACACATCCAGATTTTGGAGATGTCAAGATGTGAAGGGAAAAGTAGTCTTGTAAGCAATCAAATTTGGCACCACTAACGTGCCTGTGACACATATATGCATGCACATTTGGAAAGACACCTTATTTTACTCCTCTGAAGGGTTCCTAGGCTGAATATGCATCCTTCTCTTTCATGCTTTTCTGGGGGACTGTTCCAGGCTGCCTGGGATCGGGGTCCTGCAGCAAGAGTAATCCCTACTCCTCATTTCTGTCTCCTACCCTTCAGCAGAGAGGACAGTGAATCAGGAACTGCCTCACTGGGGAGAGACCCAGTCCTCCAGGAGAAGCAGGGGAGAGACTCAGCATGGGGCAGAGGCAGTGCTGCCAACCTTGCTTGCCCTGCACCAGAGCGTTTCCTCAAGCTGGCCATGCTCCGGCTGGCCAAGCAGGCTGCAAGGGGATTTCATGGATTGCTTTTGCCTCCAGGGAGCCGTTCATTAGGCTCTGCCCACACACCCTGGCAGCTCCTTCATTTCCCAGTCTGAGGGGAGGACACAATGAGCGCAAGCCAGGCTGAGCATTTTCAAAGCAGCACACAGATTCCCTGGCAGAAATCATAATGGTGGCTCTATTCAGCGAGGTGCCTTTGAGGTGTGAAAGCCTCCCTGTGCAGGGCATCCCTGTCCAGCACTATTTATCTCTGTTTTTAAAAGCCAAATGCGGCTTATGATTCTGCTTTGGAGCTGACATTTCCATGCCTCTCTGTGGAGGAGAGGGAGAGATGGGCATTCAGCACTGGCTCGGGAGCTGCTTTGTCCCTATCCCTCTGAAATGCTGTTTTCATGAGAGCTTTCCCCACTGCTTGGGGGATGGAGAGGACCTGGGGCAGCTGGCAGTCACTGGGAGGCAGTCAGGGGCCCCTGTGGCAGCCAATCTTGGAGGCAGCCCTGGGCTTCCCTGTGCCTGCTGGGTGCCCTGGGGAGGCAGGAATGGGCTCCTTCGCAGTTGTCTTGGAGAAGATGTGGGTGCCCTGTTGCTCCACTTCGTGCAGCCTGACTTCCAGTTGCTGCCTCTGTGTTCCTTTGCCTGGGGGCTCTTGCTGGTAGTCACAAGTCAAGCTGGGAAACTGACCTTCCCAAGGAGTTCCATTCCTCAGTGGCCACAGGAGTTAGCAATTTCGGATCCTTCTCAGTGTGTGAAGGGTTCTGAGGTCTCCACCATCTGGGAGAGCTCTGTGTGTGGGATCAAGTCTCAGTTACCCACAGCTGCTTGATGATATTTTAGTGTTGCCTTCCCTTCCTTATTCCCTTTAGCTTCCAAATAAACTACAGTCACCCCTCGGTATCCTTGGGGGCCTGATTCCAGGACACCCACAGATACCAAAATTGGTGGTGCTCGAGACCCATCTGAAATAGTGTAACACATGTATGCATATAGCATACACATATCCTCCCATATATTTTAAATCATCTCTATTTTACTTATAATATGTAATACAATGTTATTGCTATGTAAATAGCCACTGTACCATATTTTTTAAGGAATAATAAGATAAAAAATTTATAAATATTTAGCATAGACACAGCATTGTTTCAAATAGTTTTAATCTGAGGGTTGAATCTGCGGTTGAGGAATCTGTAGCTAGACAGCTGACCAAAGAGGTATTTGTATCTATTGCTTGGAGTCTGCTTCTGGGAGCAACAGACCAACACAACCCTTGTATCTCCAGGGCCGAGCTCACAGTAGGTGCTTAATAAGTATTTCTCAAAACATTAGAAGCCACCTACCTCACAGGGCTATCACTAAGATCAAGTAAAATAAAATGGACAGAAGTGTTTTGGAAATTGGAAAGGACAAGGGAAATGGAAGGGCGGGGCATGAAGGGAGTGCGCTAGCCTCCCTGGGCTCCAGCCACACAGGGAGTGCCACAGCCCTGTGTTTGCCTCCATAGTTCCCATGCACCAGCTCATCCAGACTGAATCCTCTCATGAAGGAACCGTGACCTGGAAGACATATCACACATACATTAAGGCTTCTGGAGATTTGGTATAAAACAACAGGTTTCTTGATTTAATTTGCATTTTAAAAATCTCTTCTTAAGCTGTTGGGCTCACGTTTTATGATTCCTTTAACACTTACTCTCTTTATGCTAGGACTGTTTATCAATGCTTTTATTTTGTCCCCCCCAAAAAACTAAAATCTGATCATATAGCATTTATTTATTTATTTATTTTTGTATTAAATTCTTTGATTGGTACATTGTAGGTATACAACACAATTACATTTCTCATTGGGAATTGTACCTTTACATAATGCATCTTGGTTCTTATTTTTTGCCCATTCCTAGCCCTCCCTTCACACCCTCCACCCTTCCCTATTTACAAAGACTTTATTTCCATTTTTTCCATTTCTCATCATTTTTTCCTTTCCCTTCTTTCCTTTCCCCTGTGCCTCCAAGTACCCCTACCCCTTTGGACCTTTTATTCCTATTTTACATTATCGACTATTCATTCTAAACATTGGTACATTTTAGGTATACAATATAATGCCATTCATCATTGGAAATTTGCACCTTTACATAGTCTCTCTTGGTTCTTGTTTTTCACCCTTGCCCAGCCCTCCCTGATTCGGCGTGTGTTCCACGCCACTGGGGACCTCGGCAGGGTGTGGGCAGACCTACCTGTCTGCAGTGGGGTGATTCGGCGTCTTCCGCGTGACTCAGGACCTCGGCAGGGTGTGGGCAGACCTACCTGTCTGCAGCGGGCTGATTCGGCGTCTTCCTCGTGACTCAGGACCTCGGTAGGGCGTGCACAGACCTGCCTGTCTCCATATAGCCTTTTAAATGGAATCATTTTTTATCTCCATTAAAGCCGCCAGACTCTCTTTTATTGGGGCTTCTGCCCATGCACACTCTGGGCTCTGATAGAGCACCTATCAGCCCATTACCTGCCTTCCACGAAAGACCCCATCTCTGTGTGTGCAGAACATAGCTGTCATACCTGATTCCTAATCTCCCCCCAACATGACTGTGGCTTCATTGGTTTGCTTTTAAAGGATACTCAGGGCCGGGATTTAGCTCAGTGTTTTTGCCACCTGTCCTGCAAGTGCAAGGACCTAAGTTCGATCCCCCATACCAAAAAAAAAAAAGGATACTCAGTTGCTTATATTACAGTGCACACTGGAAGTTTTTCCAGTACATATGTTGACCATTCAGACCCATTTTCTAATGGAATGGAGCAGATGTCCCCTTTAGGATGTAGGGGCCCAATGCCAGAACATTTTGAGTCCAGCTAGAAGGTGGTTCCTAGAGGTGGGAGTCGTTTCCTGATAGTCTGCGAATTGCCCAAATTCCCAGGGTTGGGTGCTGAGGAAGGTAAATTCCCTACGACTCTCACACCTGTAACCCCTTGGGTCTCCCCTTTCCTCTTGCAGGGTACCTCCTCTCTCTCTTCAGTGTCACTCTTCCTCCTGATGATTGGCAGCTCTGCCTTCAGCAACTGGTGGCTGGGTCTCTGGCTAGACAAGGGCTCCCAGGTGAGTTTCCCTTTGGCAATGCTGGGGTCTATCTTGGAGGAAAAATGTTGCTGATGGAGAACGTGTCCTACAGCACACAAGGAGCTCATTTTTGTCTCTTTTCATGAAGTTGAGATCAGCTGCTTATACTTCATGGTTTAAACTTCTGAGATTCCCTTCAATTTCTCAAGCTAAGGACGGTTTCTGAAATTTTAGGCGCCACTTTCAGATTTTAAGCGGTTGACTATCAAGAGATGGTGCCAGTCAAATGCAACTGTGGGGCTAAGTGCGCTCAAGGTAGGGCAGTTCCTGCAGCCTCTGACCTAAGTTTTCTCAGAGGAGGGAAGGGAGGGACTGGAAATCCTGACACAGACTGATGTCTTTCTGTTTTAAAACTAGCATCTTCTTGTGAGTGCTGCCAGATGCCAGAGGACTAAGGATGGGTCTGACCCCCAAGGTCTCCTCTGTAGAAACAGCACGTGGAAGAGTCAAACTTTGGTTCCTACAAATGCTACAGGGTCACCAGGGCCCTTTCCCTGCCTCCCAGGGCGCCTTTTTTGCTAGAGCCTTCCCTGGGAAGGACTGATAAGTTTTCTCTCCTTGGAGCTTGCTGGAAGCTTTCCAGGCTGTTGGCCCCCCGGAGGCTGCTGCTAGGGTGCCTGCCCATCCACCAAGATTACATTTGATACAATTCTGTTGCTATGACAACCAAAGTGAGGTGGCTTGGGCAGGGGAGAGGCTGGGTAGCATAGCTTCCAGGGCCATTCCTGGGGGAAGAGCTCAGTGGGTGTCTGCTCTGTGCAGACACAGAGAGCCCTTTCTGGGAGGTAGATAGTCTCCCAGATCCTTGGTGCCCTCAAAGAGCCCTTTCCTTGGACCCAGTGTAGGGTCACAGCAGAGCCTCCTCCTAGGCTTGGCCCATCCACAGTAGGTCACTGAGCCTGTGGCCACAGTGGTGGACCTGTGCACTTACCCCACAGCCCCTGACAGTGTGGGCACAACCCAAGACATAAGAGCATCTCCTTTTCAAGCTGAGCCTTTCAACAGTTGGCTCCTCAGGGATGCTTTTGCCTTTATAGACCCTCATCCATCACCACCTCTGGTTTACGTTTCCTCTGTTACTGTAATCAGCAGAATGGCATTTAGAAGACAGATGTTTGCTTGGTCCCCAAAGGCGCTCTTGACTTTTAGCACATAGCCCGGGGAGAAATGAAACTGCCAATTTCTCAGGAGGAAGAGATGGCCTCTCCTAGAAATGCTGGTGAAACTCTCTTCTCATGGGCTGGATGGAACCACAGTCTTTAAATCTTCTGAGTCCCTTGTGTCCACTGTCCCCTCTCCTCCCCACTAGGGACTCCAGGGCAGCATCCTCCCTGTTGGCCCCTGGGAGAAAGACAAGGAAAAGGCTGTGGAGCTTGGCATGGTGCAGAGGTGCCCCTGAGTCTCCCCAGGAGCCTGGTGGCCACTGTCAGGCAGCTCAGTGTGTTGGAGACTGGTCCCTTAGTCCTTCTGCCTGTGCTGCCTCAAGTTTGCTCAGCCAGTCTAATGGGATCCAGATTCCCTGTTTGCCTCTGGATCCCCCTGGCTCAGCATCATTTTGGGCCTCATGAGGCAAGGGTAGCTTTTGCCCTGTGCCAGCCTAGTTAATCTGTTCTGGTTTTCCCTCTGACTGTGCAATGCTCACATCAGATGCCCTTGGGGAGGAGCCACGTGAACTAAGAGGCCCCATAGACAGTAACTCCCCTTCTCCATCAGACTCATTCTTAACAACTGTGTGCCACTCTCTAGCTTCTTCTGGAAGGTTCCTCTTCTCCTCACATTTCACCAGTTCTTGGGGCTTCTTTTGTTTTGCCCCAAAGATGAACTGCGGGCCCCAAGGCAACCAGACTCTGTGTGAGATCGGCCGAGTGCTTGAAGACGCCAGGCAGCACATGTACCAGTGGGTGTACGTAGCTAGCATGGTGTCTATGTTGGCGTTTGGCATCATCAAAGGCTTCATCTTCACTAAGACCACGCTGATGGCATCCTCCTCATTGCATGACAGAGTGTTTGACAAGGTGGGAGCTGCAGGCATGCCCATTATCCAGCCAGCAGGGTTTATCGGGTCCCTGCTATGTGCCAGGCACTGAGCTGTGCTCTGGGGACATAAGAACCCTCATGGAGTTTGCAGTCTGAGAAGTGTCCCTGCAGATCTAATTACTACCTGTGAAAGCCCATTCTGGGGAGCCTTTGGGATGCACCATGGGCTCTTGTGGAGAGGTAGGAAGCCATTCCGGAGCACAAACGTGCAGGCCGAGAGGGCATCTCCTGCTCCCAAGAGCCCTGAGTACAGCACGGGCCTCAAGAGGTGCTTGAAGCCCTCTGCCATCCACTGCCATCATTGGCTCTGAGGGTCTTTACCAAAGTATTTACGTTTTGAGGGTGGAGAGACAAAATCAAACTTGGCTTTTTACTGCCCTGGCACAGCATCCCTCCTTCTTCTGAAAGTACCAGTCTGTATCTTAGATTCTGAGGGGACGCTTGACCCCACTTAAGGGCAGAATCTCCCCCACATTCATTCATGATTGCCACAAGAAGGGCAGCACCCATCCTCACTTCCCTGCGATTGCCTGGCATGCTGGGTGATGCCCTGGAGAATAGGTCCGACCCTGTGCTTCCCATTCCAGCCCCAGCAGCGTGGCCCAGGGTTTGCTAAACACCACCCGACTCTGTTTGACTCTCTGCTATTATCCACAGATCTTCAAGAGCCTGATGAGCTTCTTTGACACGACTCCCACTGGCAGGCTAATGAACCGTTTTTCCAAGGATATGGATGAGCTGGATGTGAGGCTGCCATTTCACGCAGAGAACTATCTGCAGCAGTTTTTTATGGTGGTGTTTATTCTGGTGATATTTGCTGTTGTGTTTCCTGCTGTCCTTTTGGTCCTGGCTGGCCTCACTGTGGTCTTCATCATTCTTTTATGGTAGGTCTCTCTATGCACTATTTAAAAAGGAGAAATTGACACACACATGCACAGAGTTCATGTGCATGATACCTGGTAGTCAGGTGAGAGTGAGCACTTGCTGTCCTCCCCCATGGTGGAGCCCATTCATTTTCAGCACTTGCTGAACCCCAGGTGCTATGTGTACATTTGGAATTTTAGCCTCAGAGAACCCTGAGTGGTGGACACTATTGGGAGGTGAAGTCACAGATCCCAGACCAGGAAACTAGTAACCATGGTTGCTGCCTGTCTGCTAATATGCAGTATTCCTGCTCATTGGGCTCCACCATACTGGCTGCTGCAGAAGGGAGAGGAGACTCATCCTCAGTCTCTCCAAGCTTTGAGAGTATCCCACCCTCAGAGTTAACATGGGTACAGAAAGGCCTGCTTTGCACTGGGGATTCTTGCTGAGCCTGGGCACATTCCAGCCTGTGGGAAAGCAGGAGGGTAGCAGGGACTCTAGCCCTCAGAATCACAACTCCCTCTTCTTCCTGGGCTGAGCAGGGTTCTCAGCAGGTAGCATGGGCTGCACTGGGTGAGGGCCAAAGGTTGCAAATAAGAAAATTGACACCAGAGCCCCAGCTCTGCCACAGCCTAGCTGGAAGACCTTGGATTAGTTCAGAGAAACGCAGCAAACCTCAGTTTTCTTCATCTCCTGGATGGTCACTGTTAAGATGTGTGCCTCATCCACTTCAGAGGGGTTGTTGTGAGCATCAAATGAAACTGGATTTGAAATTTGAGGGTTTAGGTGAGAAATGACCAGGACTAGACTTTGGGAGCAACCGTGGGAACAGAAAGGAGGGATGGATTCATGTGCTATTTATGAGGTAGTCTTGGCTTCATGACTGGTGGGCTTTGGGTGTTAGGAAGATGGGACAGGCCAACAATGACCCCATGATGGGGAGTGATGTGCAGAGAGTTGGAGATGGTACAGAAGAAGCAGTTTGAGTAGTCATCATAACGAATTTGGTTTGAGATGGTTCAAGTTTCTCCATCAGTCTGTGGGTGATGCCATGGACAGTACAAAGTGCTCAGGGGGGCTTTGGGTTGGAAGCTGGACTCGGCATCTGTATGGGAGCTGGTGGGAATTACTACCAGTGCCTTGGGGTCAGGAGTGCCAGGCTGTCATTGCAATAACCCATGGCGACTCTCAGAAAGGACACATGGTCTCAGTCTCCAAACTTGACCAAATGAAATAGTTCATTTTGTTGTGATGACCAAATGAAAATAATTTCATTTACAAAGAGTACATCTTGGATGTCAGTGCTCGAGTGGATTCCTTGGGCCTGTGTTCATTTCTATAAATGCTGTGCTTATCATTGTTCTGTGTTCTGTTTATGCTGTTGATTGACTTAGCAAAAGCTTTTCCCCTCCCCTGCACCCCTACATCTTGCTATAAAGGCAGGGTAGACCAGAGCTGGCCCTGACTGAATTATCTAAATATTTCCAACTAACTCACTTATGCTTGGGGCTAATGAGGCTTCTTCCTCACCCGCCTTGGGGAGTTTTAGGTGAGCCTGGAGGCCACATTAGATTTTTCCACCTGCATCTAGCTCGTGTGTGAGCCAAAGGCCCTGGTCTGTTCATGAGGGATCTGCAGGGTTCCTCATGAAGGGGCTGTATCCTGGTGGTAGTGGTGGTGGTGGGGTTGGGTTTTAAAGTCAGCTCCCAAGGCTATCATGATGTTTGTTTAGAATTGGCTTTGAAAATGTCTTTAGAAGACCATACCTGGCAGATGACAACCAGGTTTTCCTTCAGGTTAGAATAGATTCATTTTTCTCTAGTTGGGCTTCAAAAACTGGTTGGATTATCAGAGAGCAGCACTGCATGAAACATTCTGCTCTTCAAAACTAGAATTACATTGTATGCAGGATGACATTCCTACTGTGAGACAATCCCAGAACTGAAGGAGGAGAAAGCGGGAGGATCACAAGTTGGTCCTACCAGGGCAATTTAGTGACACTCTGTCTCAAAATAAAAGTACAAAGGGCTGAGGATTTAGCTCAGTGGTGGAGCACCCTGGGTTTGATGCCCCTTACACATCCCCTCCCAAAGAAGCTCTTAAGTCTGACAGCAAATGAAGGAAGAGAAAATACATTTCTTAGACGTCTACCTTTCACAAACAACTGGACAAGACCCTCCTACAGAATAGTGCTGGGGTCCTCATTCTCCCCAGTTAGATGGCTCCACCTCTGACTGGCTGTCATAGTACATGCACGATGGCATATGCATGTGCTGAGAGCAGCCATTGATCCCACTTTCTTGGCCCCTCTTGGTTTTCCTACAGTGTTTTCCACCAAGGAGTCCAGGAACTCAAGAAGGTGGAGAACATCAGCCGGTCACCATGGTTCTCCCACATCACCTCCTCCATGCAGGGGCTGGGTGTCATTCACGCCTATGGCAAGAAGGAGGAGTGCATCCACAAGTGAGTCTTCTCGCCTCAAGCTGACCCCACTGTGGGTCATGAGAGCAATCTCTGGCCCTGCATAGGGGAGTCTGGGCTGCAGGTGAAAAGCTGTGCACCTGGCAGGAGCCTCCTAGACACTTGGCTGTGGTCTGTGTACCCGGGGCCCCAGTAGATGTAAGTGTGGGCAGCTCATTGAGTGATGATCTCAGTATAGGGCCTTATGTGTTTTATTTTCATTCTGAAGGTGAAAATGTGTTCAGTTCTGGAAAATAGGAGAAAAAAAGAAAAACCCCTCACGTATGTCCCAAGCCCCCAATTCTACTAATATTTTCATACATGAGATGAGCCCTCCTAATTTGAAATGTTCCACAACCTAAAGCTTTCTGAGTGCAAACCTGACACTACAAGTAGAAAATTCTGCATTGGATCTTGTGGGACATGTTGCAATAAAAATACAGGAATATTAAAAATATCATATAAAATTATCTACAGGCTATGGGTATAAGGAGTATATGAAATGTAAATGAATTTTGTGTGTAGAGTGGGGTCTCATCCTCAAGATGTCTTATTATATTTATGCAAATATTTCAGAACCTGAAAAATATCCAAAATCTGAAATATTTTTGGTCCCAAACATTTCAGGTAAGGGACACTCAACCTGTATTTCCTCCCAGTCTTCTTTTCTATTCATGAGGATTTCTGAAGTATTTATAGTCATTTTTTATGGTTTTGAAGATTTCTTATTTTTAAGTAGCAGTTTTCATGTCATTTCGTATTCTTTGTGAAAATAATGTTTAAAGGACACATTTCTTTTCATTTCACAGACCAATTTCCTTCTTTTTAAAACTTGGGGACTTGATTAGTAGATTTCTTTGAAGTCTTCCAGCTCTAGACATAAAATACCAAGAAAATGTACCAATCACACCTCCAAGACTGTTACAGGGGTTGTAACACAATAAATGTTTATTCTTCAAGTCACAATGTAATGAGGGTCCATGGAATGGGGAAAGGGGATTCTTCTCCACTTACACACATGCAGTCTTTTTTTTAATCTGCTGCTTTGCCATTCCAAAGGCTTAGGAAGAGAAGGGGAACAAGGAGGGCAGGGGAGCCCATGGCACATTTTTATGGTTCAAGCCCGGAGAGGATAATCAGAATTTCTGCACATTCATTGGCCAGATTTCAGTCATGTGGGCCCATCTGATTGTGAGGGAATCTGGGAATGTAGTCCATCCCTGTCCAAAAGAGGAAATGAAGATGGAGTTTGATGATGGTGCAGTAGTCTCTGCCACCTCTTCTCTTTGCCACCTCTTCTTTCCTTCTTATCTTTTACTTCCTTAAAAATCTTCAGTGCTTGTGTCTGATTCTCTCTCATTCTCTCTCATTCATTCTCTCTCTCTCTCTCTCTCTCTCTCTCTCTCTCTCTCTCTCTCTCTGTCCTCACTTTCCCACCCAGGATCTCAGTGTAGGCTTGACTTTCACAGCTCGCCTCTGGTTCGGTCGGCAGCTAGTCCTGGCCTCCGTGCAATTCTCCCCTTTCTGCCACTGGTTCCTTCATGTGATGTGGAATGGGAGGGGCCCCAAGCTGCTCTGCTAGACCTTGCTGCATCAGTCAGATCTGCTGGGCTTTCCAGGGGGTCCATCTGACAGCTGCCCACTGCCTTCCTCTGAGATGGAGGCCTCTTTGCCTCACAAATCCCACCTTCCTTCCATGTGTTCAGTTTAAAGGACTGGCAGGTGCACCCTGCTTACCTCAGGAGAATGAGGGACTCCAGAGTGGTTCTCACCCCACGCCTTGCATTCTCTCCTCAGCAAGCTCTTGGCTCAGTAGACATGCAGCAGGCAAGCAAGACATGTGCCCCTTGAACTTTGTCTCACATGCTCTCCTTTCCTCTGGTGCTGTTACAGAATTGACTGTCCCCAGAGGTAGCCTCCTCCACAACCCACCCCACCTCTTTTGCAGATCAAAGGGGCCAGTGAGGGTTGCACCAGCCTCTGTGCGGAGGGAGTTGACTCCAAGACAGGGATTTTTTGAAGCTGGGGTGTGAGGCTCTCAGCAGCTTTTACTCTCAGCTGTGAGCTCCAGTTGCCAGTTCGAGGAAAGACAGAAAGGGCCTACATAGCACTGTTCTCAACTGTCACATGAGATTTCTCAGAATATGTACAAATCAAAGATCTGGTGATGGTAGGTAGAAGCCTGGATAGATGCTCATTTGGAAGAGCTTCTTATATGAAAATGCATCCCCTTGATTAACAAATCCCTTGCTTCATTTCTATAGAAGCCCTAACCCTAAGCACAGCCTGACCTGGAAGCACAACCTGACTATTTGTTTGATTTTCTTATTTTTAGGTTTAAGATGCTAAATGATGAAAACTCTAGCCACCTTCTGCACTTTAACTGTGCTCTCTGGTGGTTTGCTCTGAGAATGGATGTCCTCATGAACATTGTCACCTTCATTGTGGCCTTGTTGGTGACCCTGAGTTTCTTCTCAATCAGTGCTTCATCGAAAGGCTTGTCACTGTCTTACATCATCCAGGTAACACGAGAGACAAGTTGGGCTTGGCCCAGAGGCCTTGGCATATGTCAGGGAGAGTGCTTTTGGATGGTCATAATGGAAAAATGGCTTTAAACAATAAAGGGATCTTAGTGGTTCACACCTTTAAAAAGTTGGGCAGCTGCATGGGTGCCAGGGACAGAGGCTCTTGTTTTTGTCCTCCTCCTCCTTTCCCTTATGGCTGGGCAAGGTGACCGAGAGCTTCTGGAGGCTACAGAAGGAGGAGAGTATTTCCTGCCCTGAATACTGAACAAAAGTCCAAGCTTTACTCCTAGTGGATTAATTTGGGAATCCCAGCACTCAATAGTAGTTCAACAGGATTGAAATGATTGGACAGGCTAGGGGATCTTACCTGGGTTTGTTTCTTTTGCATAATAACAATGATAGGTGAACACATACCATGTATTGTGCTTTAGGTCCTGTTCTTTTCTTAAATTTACTCAATTACTACCCCTCCCCCCACTGACCCTATGATACTGCCCTAAGCCTTGCTTTGCATGTGAGAAAAATAAGGCCCACAAAGACCTGCCTACAATGACACGCATGTCATGTGTGACGGCCAGGATCTGAACCCAGGCCACCTAGGTCTGATGTTTGAATTGTGTCCCTTTTTTTTAAAAAAAGCTTTATAGGAGAGATTTATTTTATTTTTTTTGTATTAAATTCTTTTATTTGGTACATTGTAGGTATACAACACAATTACGTTTCTCATTGGGAATTGTACCTTTACATAATGCATCTTGGTTCTTATTTTTTCCCTATTCCCTGTCCTCCCTTCATGTGCTCCACCCTTCCCTATTTACAAGGACTTTATTTCCATTTTTTCCATTTCTCATCATTTTTTCCTTTCCCTTCTTTCCTTTCCCCTGCCCCTCCCACTACCCCTACCCCTTTGGACCT